TATCCTTGATCCTTGGTCCTTTATAAGGACTCCACAAAATCGAGGACTTTCTTCCGATCACGAGGACACGAACGCGTAGGACACGAATGAAAAATGACAGAGAAAAGTAAGTATTTCAGACTGGGGGAAATATCCTTGATCCTTGGTCCTTCAAAAGGCCTCAAAAAATCGAGGACTTTCTTCCGATCAGGAGGACACGTACGCGTAGGACACGAATGAAAAATGACAGAGAAAAGTAAGTATTTAAGACTGGGGAAAATATCCTTGATCCTTGGTCCTTTATAAGGACTCCACAAAATCGAGGATTTTCTTCCGATCACGAGGACACGAACGCGTAGGACACTAATGAAAAATGACAGAGAAAGGTAAGTATTTAAGACTGGGGAAAATATCCTTGATCCTTGGTCCTTTATAAGGACTCCACAAAATCGAGGATTTTCTTACGATCACGAGGACACGTACCACGTCCTGATTGTTCGATAAATAACGGAGTTATGCTTTCGGCCATTTGAGCCTAACAAATTTTATTTGCACTGTGGCGCCCCCATGATCACCTACGGCCACTGATGGAACTAAAGTATGGTAGTTCCAGAAATAGCCGTTCGTAGCTGGGGGCGCCACTGTGCAAATAAATTTTTTTGTTGCACAGTGGCGCCCCCACCATCGTCGACGGCCATTGCTGGAACTAAAGTATTGTAGTTCCTAAAACCACCGTTCAAAGCTGGGGCGCCACTGTGCAAATAAATTTTTTTGTTGCACAGTGGCGCCCCCACCCTCATCGACGGCCATTGCTGGAACTAAAGTATTGTAGTTCCTAAAACCACCGTTCAAAGCTGGGGCGCCACTGTGCAAATAAATTTTTTTGTTGCACAGTGGCGCCCCCACCCTCATCGACGGCCATTGCTGGAACTAAAGTATTGTAGTTCCTAAAACCACCGTTCAAAGCTGGGGCGCCACTGTGCAAATAAATTTTTTTGTTGCACAGTGGCGCCCCCACCATCATCGACGGCCATTGCTGGAACTAAAGTATTGTAGTTCCTAAAACCACCGTTCAAAGCTGGGGCGCCACTGTGCAAATAAATTTTTTTGTTGCACAGTGGCGCCCCCACCATCATCGACGGCCATTGCTGGAACTAAAGTATTGTAGTTCCTAAAACCAACGTTCAAAGCTGGGGCGCCACTGTGCAACAAACAAATTTATTTGCACAGTGGCGCCCCCAGCTACGAACGGCTATTTCTGGAACTACCATACTTTAGTTCCATCAGTGGCCGTAGGTGATCATGGGGGCGCCACAGTGCAAATAAAATTTGTTAGGCTCAAATGGCCGAAAGCATAACTCCGTTATTTATCGAACAATCAGGACGTGGTACGTGTCCTCGTGATCGTAAGAAAATCCTCGATTTTGTGGAGTCCTTATAAAGGATCAAGGATCAAGGATATTTTCCCCACTTACTTTTCTCTGTCATTTTTCATTCGTGTCCTACGCGTACGTGTCCTCGTGATCGGAAGAAAGTACTCGATTTTTTGAGTCCTTTTGAAGGACCAAGGATCAAGGATATTTCCCCCAGTCTGCAATACTTACTTTTCTCTGTACGTGTCCTCCTGATCGGAAGAAAGTCCTCGATTTTTTTGAGTCCTTATGAAGGACCAAGGATCAAGGATAATTCCCCCAGTCTGATATACTTACTTTTCTCTGTCATTTTTCATTCGTGTCCTACGCGTTCGTGTCCTCGTGATCGGAAGAAAGTCCTCGATTTTTGAGGCCTTTTGAAGGATCAAGGATCAAGGATATTTTCCCCAGTCTTAAATACTTACTTTTCTCTGTCATTTTTCATTCGTGTCCTACGCGTATGTGTCCTCGTGATCGGAAGAAAATCCTCGATTTTGTTTAGTCCTTATTTCTGTGCGCCTGGTATCTCAGATTTGAATTTAACGTTTTTCTGCCATTTGAGCAGTGGAAAGTGGAGGCAGAAAATGAGAAAAAGAAGAGCGAAATGAGAGAGCAATGAAATACAAAGAGAAACAAGAAAAAACGACAATTAAAAAAAACCAGCGACCTTCTGCTGATTTCTGTGCGCCTGGTATCTCAGATTTGAATTTAACGGTTTTCTGCCATTTGAGCGGTGGAAAGTGGAGGTAGAAAATGAGAAAAAGAAGAGCGAAAAGAGAGAGCAACGAAATACAAAGAGAAACAAGAAAAAACGAGAATTTAAAAATAGCAGCGACCTTCTGCTGATTTCTGTGCGCCTGGTATCTCAGATTTGAATTTAACGGTTTTCTGCCATTTGAGCGGTGGAAAGTGGAGGCAGAAAATGAGAAAAATTAGAGCGAAAAGAGAGAGCAACGAAATACAAAGAGAAACAAGAAAAAACGAGAATTTAAAAATAGCAGTGACCTTCTGCTGATTTCTGTGCGCCTGGTATCTCAGATTTGAATTTGACGGTTTTCTGCCATTTGAGCGGTGGAAAGTGGAGGCAGAAAATGAGAAAATTAGAGCGAAAAGAGAGAGCAACGAAATACAAAGAGAAACAAGAAAAAGCGAGAATTTAAAAATAGCAGCGAACTTCTGCTGATTTCTGTGCGCCTGGTATCTCAGATTTGAATTTAACGGTTTTCTACCATTTGAGCGGTGGAAAGTGGAGGCAGAAAATGAGAAAAATTAGAGCGAAAAGAGAGAGCAACGAAATACAGAGAAAAACTAGAAAAAACGAAAATTTAAAAATAGCAGCGACCTTCTGCAGATTTCTGTGCGCCTGGTATCTCAGATTTGAATTTAACGGTTTTCTGCCATTTGAGCCGTGGAAAGTGGAGGCAGAAAATAATAAAAATTAGAGCGAAAAGAGAGAGCAACGAAATACAGAGAGAAACTAGAAAAAACGAAAATTTAAAAATAGCAGCGACCTTCTGCAGATTTCTGTGCGCCTGGTATCTCAGATTTGAATTTAACGGTTTTCTGCCATTTGAGCGGTGGAAAGTGGAGGCAGAAAATTATAAAAATTAGAGCGAAAAGAGAGAGCAACGAAATACAAAGAGAAACAAGAAAAAACGAGAATTTAAAAATAGCAGCGACCTTCTGCTGATTTCTGCGCGCCTGGTATCTCAGATTTGAATTTAACGGTTTTCTGCCATTTGAGCGGTGGAAAGTGGAGGCAGAAAATGAGAAAAATTAGAGCGAAAAGAGAGAGCAACGAAATACAAAGAGAAACAAGAAAAAGCGAGAATTTAAAAATAGCAGCGACCTTCTGCTGATTTCTGTACGCCTGGTATCTCAGATTTGAATTTAACGGATTTCTGCCATTTGAGCGGTGGAAAGTGGAGGCAGAAAATGAGAAAAATTAGAGCGAAAAGAGAGAGCAACCAAATACAAAGAGAAACAAGAAAAAACGAGAATTTAAAAATAGCAGCGACCTTCTGCTGATTTCTGTGCGCCTGGTATCTCAGATTTGAATTTAACGCTTTTCTGCCATTTTAGCGGTGGAAAGTGGAGGCAAAAAATAAGAAAAATTAGAGCGAAAAGAGAGAGCAACGAAATACCAAGAGAAACTAGAAAAAACGAGAAATTAAAAATAGCAGCGACCTTCTGCTGATTTCTGTGCGCCTGGTATCTCAGATTTGAATTTAACGGATTTCTGCCATTTGAGCGGTGGAAAGTGGAGGCAGAAAATGAGAAAAATGAGAGCGAAAAGAGAGAGCAACGAAATACCAAGAGAAACTAGAAAAAACGAAAAATTAAAAATAGCAGCGACCTTCTGCTGATTTCTGTGCGCCTGGTATCTCAGATTTGAATTTAACGGATTTCTGCCATTTCAGCGGTGGAAAGTGGAGGCAGAAAATGAGAAAAATTAGAGCGAAAAGAGAGAGCAACGAAATACAAAGAGAAGCAAGAAAAAGCGAGAATTTAAAAATAGCAGCGACCTTCTGCGGATTTCTGTGCGCCTGGTATCTCAGATTTGAATTTAACGATTTTCAGCCATTTGAGCGGAGGAAGGTGGAGGCAGAATATGAGAAAAATTAGAGCGAAAAGAGAGAGCAACGAAATACAAAGAGAAACAAGAAGAAACGAGAATTTAAAATTAGCAGCGACCTTCTGCTGATTTCTGTGCGCCTGGTATCTCGGATTTTAATTTAACGTTTCCCAATTGGCAGTTGAGCTCGCAACCTTCCAAAAGGTATTTTTTGTTCATTTTTACCATATTTTAGGTTAAGTTAACGAATTTTAGCTCCAAAGTCTCTCCATAGATTATCTCCATATTGAGCGATACCTTAAACGACGCAAAACTAACGCACCTATACACAAAAAAATAGAGGACACAAGATATAATTTTTTTTCGACTTTTCCTGAGTTTTTAAAGTCAAAATTTCGTAAAAATACCCCACAAAAATCATAATTTTTATATTTCCCAGACGGTAAGCTGTAATCACAAAATGTTTGGGCTTAACTTTTAGCTATTTTAATTATCTTTTCAAAATAGCAAAGTTCTTAACAACCAGACGTAAGATACTACAGTTATATGAAAAAAACAAGCGCTACCTCTGAAAAAAGCTTAAAAAAAAAATACCAGACTTCAAAAATTTTCCAAAAAAAATTCTGCCATAGAAAAAAAAAAATATCATCAAACCATTTCTAAGCCCCAAATCTTTAAGAAAAATTTGGTTTTGTTCCTTGAGGAAAAATCGTGTTGACCAGTGTAATAAACAATATCAATAAAATTCTCGTTATAAGAGAATTTATAAAAACAAATTTACAAAAAAAAAGAAGTATCAAAAAAGTAATTTCTGGAGAGAAAGCTCGACCATACACCCTGGAAGAACACAAAAACAATCAGTAAAATATCAGAAAAAGAGACAAGACCGGAATAAACGTTCTGGACAGAAGCAAAATTTCGGATTAAATACAAAAAATAAAAATAAAATAGAAGAAATATACATGAGATGGAAGAGCTTCTATGGAAGGGCTGTGACTATATGTCCATATCCGAGTTTGAGGTCAGAAAACTGATTCTGAATAATGATGGCCTAGTGACAAGGCTTTTTTTTATTCCTTTAAAACATTTGGGAAAAATTCAACATAATTTAACTTAATAATAATTTAACTCCATTCATTGCCTAGCTACAGATTCTCAAGTTTCTGTTATTTTTTAAGCAGCATTCATACATTCTTACAATCCTTAAAATCTATTGAATACTATCTCACTTGCTTGGTTCAATGAATCGATCAACAGATTCGGACGCACATTAGCTACATCTATTTTTTGCTGGTCGATGTGGAACCCTCAGATAACTTGTAATAGTTGTTGAAATTAATAACACGTATCAGGTCTCCGATTTCTTCTTGGTACCCGGAAGCAGCCAGCTTGTTGCCCAAGTAGATGAAGTACTGCAGGAACTTCTCGAACTCTGCCTCCTCGTGCACAAGGCGCTTGTAGCGCGGATGCACAAACACTTCTCCCTCCATAGCAAAAGACTGCGACTCTAGAACCCTGTAAAGCAAGCAGGAATTAGATATTCGGCGACTACTTGAAGGCAGTAAAACCTACTTGCAAAACCGCAAAACAATCACAAGAATGCCGTCAATGGTTTCCTTGATCTTGGTGCTACGACGATTGAGCAGCGCCAGGAATGCCACCCGCTTCAAATATGCCACATGCAGCCTGTAGAGACCCTCGATGGAGTCGCAGCCACACAACTCCTTCTTGAAGGCGTTCCAGGTGGCCTGCAGCGCATTCGCCACGAGATGGGTCTGTAATGTGGTCATAAAGTGTGACAACTTGTGGCGCACCGCCTGCAGGTGCCTAAAGTGGTTCGCAGCGCGGAGTGGTGATCCGTGCAGCTTGGCCAGGAGCTGCAGGTGCTGGAAGGCGCCTTCGAGCACAAAGGTGACGTGACGCAGCTTTAGAAGATGCTCGAAGATCTGCCCATACTTGGCGATTGTCTCGCCGCTAATTACCAAATTAAGCGGCCAATTCACCTTGCAATTTAGCGTCAGCATGGCCGTGGCATCCAGCGACATGAAATCCAAGCCCTCCGGTATCTTTGTGCAGTCCAGTGTGAGATTCTGTGCCACGAGGGCGTCGTCGGTTGCCGCACAGCCTCCGAGCGCGTTGTTGAGAATAGCGTCCAGCACGCCTTTCTGGCAGAGGCTGCGCGGATCCTGGCCCTTACTAATGTGGTCCAAAATGCCCCCCGTGAGCTGTGTCCCAAACTCGCCGTTGAGCAGAAAGAAGTAGTTCCGCAGCATGCGAAAGTGCTCGTAGACGCGCTGCTCCTTGAAGATGCGCAGCACCTCGTTGCGAAGCAGCGCATAGTGTGCACTGACCGGCTCCAGCACGGACATCTGAAGACAGCGCCTGGCCATAAATGGATTACACGACTCCGGCACCGAGGCGACTAAGGTCTGGGGCTGCGCCCTTTCCCCTATCTTTCCTATCTGGCCATTCGTTGGCCAGCGAAGAGCTGAGAGTCCGCTGGGTACTAAAGATGCTCTTCTAGCTACAAACACTGCTGCAGGTTCAGCAGGCAATGGAGTGGCCGACAAAGCCAACAAAGGATCCTGGCTGTTGTTGTTATCCGCTGCATCTGGCTCAGGACCATCTTTTTGAAAGAGATTGTGGTCGGAAAGCCCATCGATATCCACATCTGATGTGGTGGACATGGGAGTACCGGCATCCAGAGGCACCTCCACATGCAGCTTGTTCATTTCGAGTGGCAAGTGCAGGCCGTTCTCCGCAATGCAGGTCATTTTGATGGTGGCTTTTCTGCATACACTCGGAATATCAAACTCGCTTGCCATAACCCGGCGCCTATTCCTGGCCAGCTCCGAGTCCGAGCTCAGCTGGCACTTGACGCGCTGGGTGTGCACATCCTCTGTGGAGTTGAAGGCATTGAAGCCATCATGCTGTAACATACGCTGGCGGTTGCGCTGCAGATCACTCTGCTCCGTGGTGTCCTTCAATCTGTTGAGGTTCATGTTAATGTCCGGAGGCAGGAGGGCCCGTAGCTCTGTGCCTGAGCTTGAGGGCTCCTCCAGATGCACCTCCGATTGACATTCCTGCAACAGGGCGGAGGACAACATGTGCTTGCGATTGCGATCCAGCTCTGAGGGTTCAGAGGGCTCTTCTTCGTTGGAATTGAGAACATCCGAGTGACTTCTTTGATATGGCACGACAGCCACAGGAACTGGCTCTGCCTCTGAACATATGGCATTTTGTTCTTCATCGTCTGATGAAGGAGGGTGCACCGCATCTGCGTTTTCATCTGCATCGGCGTCTGCGTCTGGGGCTTCAAAGCACGATTTAAAACTGGTATTTGAACTATGATCCGGGCTAACGGCCATCTCCCATCCGGAAGCATTCTCCGCTGCCCCTTCTCGCTGACGTAGAACTTGTATTTGATTTGACAGGGCCAGCTTCTCCCGCTCCAGAAGATGATCCTCGTAGCGTTCACGCTCCCGCTGATGCTGAATTTCTTGGACCACCTCCAGGCGGCGCTGTTCGACACGATTCTTTTGCTGGAGTTCCTGCTCCGCGTGTATCTGATTGTAGCGCTGCTGCTTCTTGGCATTCGCTTCCAGGAGCAGCTCGCGCCGCTCCTCCTCCCAGGCGGCAATAAAAGAAGCCGTTTTCTCGACCATGAGGTTCTTGTACCGAAGCTTGGATGCCATCCGCTCCTCATAGATGCTTTTCATGCTGCACTTCCCGAAGGTTTTACGGATACTGCTGTATTTATCGTTCAAGCTCGTGCGCATGGCCGTGAGCTGCTGCTCCGAGAGGCAGACAACTATATCGGGATAGGCAACATCGAAGACGGGATGCTGTAATTGTGCGATGGGTTATAAGCGGCCCCTTTTGATGCTACCCCTTAGCTAAATTGCTCTCACCTGAGCATTGCAAGCCTTGAGCAGGCGATTGTACTTCCCGCACTGGAGAATGATGTTTTCGCAGCCTGACAAAAAGTCGGGTACATCCTCCCCGTGCACCTGGTAGCCCTTGTCGAAGAACTCTTTGCTGCACTCGTCGGTTTGTCGATCCAATGGCGCACGGCGTCTGATGAAGATCTCGTTCACCTCCTCGTCCAGCTCGCCCCTGTAGACCCATCGCTGAAGCTGGGCGAAGTATGTCTGACACATGCACTTCAGCAGATACATCAGCAGCTGCAGGAAGTTGCTGTTGCTGCACTTTTCGATGGCCGTTCCAATGCTGGTCAGTAGGAATGTCCCAGTCACACCCGATTCCAAGTTTACTGCAAATGTCGGTCAATGATTAACAAATAATAGGATGACGGCATGACATGTTCTTACGACTGGGTTCTGCCTCGAACATTCTCTCGAGATGCTGCAGCAGTTGCATAGCAGGTTTGGCTCCTACCAGCAGCTGCGAGAAGCTTTCAGCGGGCAGGGAAAGAAGAAACTGCCGATTGGTGGCCAAAAAATCAATTATGGTGTCCCGCATGGCCTGAAAACGCAAGACGAAAGTTAGACTTGAGTACTTAAGGTTCGATTGATATTCGAGGATGAGATAATTACCCGATTAAGTGGTCCCTCTAGGCGGTGACTTTGACTCTTGATGCGAGCACTCAGGCGGCGAAAGGCGATGCCAGACCTTACAAACGGTTCTACAAAATCGGACATCACCGCGGGTAGCACATTTCGCACCGTGGTGTTTCTTTTTATTTGGAGTAGATCCTTGGCTTCGGCTGGGCACTCGAACGTCTCCGATTGCAGGCCTGCTGCTGCCTTCTTCAAGTGATCAATGAACACCGCCTGGTCGACGTAGTACAGCACCAAATCTTTGTTCAGGTGGAGCAACAGTTCGTTGCTCATGCTGATATCCGAGAAGAAGTGCTTCTCAGGCTTACTCTCGGCGATAAAGTTGTTCTTCAGCTTGTCCCGGGCCGTTTCATCAGGCGAAGGCCTTTTCTTTGGCAGCGGCAGACGATATGTTATGCGCATCGTTTGGTCCTTGGACCCTCTAATACGTGCCATGGACTCTGAGAAGGCGGAGCAGGTCACGGAGGGGGCCACCAAGTGCAAGCGCTTGGGGGGAACGCGCTGCTCACCACGTCTGATGAATACTAAATCAAAGCGGGGCTTGAAATCGAGTGGGTTGCCTTTCCGTCGCAAATCATCGACGGAGGTTAACATCCTTTGTTTATGATCACTTAGGCTGGCGTAACCATCACTGCCCTCGGCTGGTTTATTTAGCTGCAGTGGTCCTGGCTGCAACAGCTTGACCCTGAACCTGGACTCCTTGCTGCACTCAGATTCCTTCTGCAAAGGAACCCTAGCAGTTTCGAGGAATGGATCCTTACAGCCGAGTATCTCCTGGAAGTGGCGTATTGTTTCGTCCTTTCGATCGCTCCTGGTGTCCCGGCACACTTGCCGCAAGAGCGCCTCCTTCATGGAGGCGGGCATTGTGCCATTTCGCAGCAGAGAATCGAAAATCTGGCTGCGCTTCTTGGCCACAGAAGCAGCTGTTGGCCGTTTTGGTCCATTCTCCTCGGCGCCCAACAGAAACGCCAAATGACTAACCACTTCGAGCAGACTGTGGGTGCGCTCGTCGAATACATCCATCAATATTTTCTTTTTAACGCCAAAATTGTTATAAACAATCAAAAATAACAAAAACAATGTAGATATAAAATATACCCTCAGACCCTCAGAAATATACCGTCTCATTTTCAAAATATACTGGAAATATACCGATGAAAAATACCCTGGTGCCACAAGTTAATCGATGCTAGTGGTGGGTACTATGGCAATCGATAATCGGCAGTTAATTTAAATATATAATTTATACGCAAACCATACAGATATTTATATAATTTAAAATGATGTTTATATTACAGCAAAGGCGTTTAGCTAGGAATTGAATTGCCATAAGACATACCTGACACGTTTTACGCGAACTAAGACTAAGAGTTTAATGTAAAAACAATTAAAGTAGTAAGAACAGGACTTTTTATTTTAGTTCATTACAATGCCATATACTTGGCTTCATTTACAACAGATTCTATTTCCAGTTTGGTTTTCGCATTAAAAATTGAATTCGGCAAGCTTGAACGAGACTTGTGCCTTCTGGGAGGTCTTACAATACGAGAAAAGTGTAGCTTGCTGGCTCCAACTTATGTTTATTATGCTGGTAATACTTAAGGCTACATACAATCTGGGTAGGTTAAGATAATGTTACGCGGATAAGGGGTACATATATGCATCTTCTGCAACAAGCTTCGTGCTGCCCAACTTCCTTGGCATGAGAAATGACTTGATCTTGAGATTTGGGGTGGACAAGTAGTGTGTGTGTTTAACCAAAGGAATATGCAGTACAGCTTCTCTTAAAAATTAATAAGGTTCGGGGAGCAGCTCTTTTTTGTTTGGGAGTTTTGGATACAAATTAAGCCAATTGAATCTTTCGCGAAATGTCATAGTTGGGGCGAAAGTGCGCCGCAATTGGCATTTGAATTTTATATTAGATATTAGGAGCATTTAAGGGGTGGGCTGCTGGATTGGGGTTTTTGCGTTTGGGGATGTGTGTTTGTGTGGGTGTTTTGGGGTTGGGTGGCGTTTCGACAGCTTAGCTCGTCGCTGGGAACTTGTTGCAGGGCTGAATGATCGAGGTTTTGCGTGCCGGCACGGTCTCGGGCGTTGGTATGGCTTCGCCGGTGGTCACCTTGTTGGCAAAGACCTGCTTGACGCTGCCACCCTTCTGCTTGGCCATCTGATAGTCGCCCGAATCGAAGAACTTTTGCTGCAGAAGGGACAGAGACAGAGATAGAGATTATGTGATACGGACCATGGGGCATGGGCAGCTGGCACATGGCACACTTACCCCCTTCTGCAGACGCTTCTGGAGGAACGCCGAGTGGCCTCCGGGCACACGCATGCCGCTCGAGTACTTCGACTTGAGCTTCTCCTCCTCAATCTTCTCGAGATCCCTGGGATTGGTCTGCTCGGGGGCCTCTCCCTCCTGGGGCGTGGTGGCCGGGCTGCTGCTGTTGTTTTCCTCCGTGGAGCTCATGGTGATCTGGTTTCTAAAACACAATGAAATTCGGATTAGCAACTGCCTGAAACTTTTTCCGACTAACGTTCGGCGGCGAGAACTTGTCAAAAATGGCGGCGACGTTTTTCCAAAACAATGAGAGAACGCTATAGTCGAGTGCCACGACATATGGATACCTGGTAACCTGATCAGTGGCGGCACTGCAGGTGCTACCCCATTCTGCTCAGTCAAAAATGTAATTAATGACACTCTTTGTGACTCTGGTCAGGGGATCCAATGGTGCTGCGTCTCTCTACTGTGAAACGTTTTCATCTTCTTTCGCTCTTGACGTACGTAATACCCTATACTGTGTTATGCTGTACGAATACCATGTATTCCCCTCAAGTACCGGGTAGAGAAATCAAGAGCAATACGCCTGGAATCCGAGGCGCGAAAAATGCCAAATAAAAATTGCATTTCGGCACACATACACACACATGCACACGAGTAAACGGCAGGAAGGCAAAAGTACGCATACACACACGCACAGACAGCCAAATAAGACTAACTTTTGTGATATATGGACGACGCGACGTCGTCGTCGGCGGCGACTGCACGCAAATATAATAGTAATAATCTGATGTACAAATATTGCGTTAATTTCGTTCACATGTACATACCTACTGCTTGGACGATAATGTACGTGAGGTTGTGTGTGAATAGAGCGTATTCCTAGCTCTGTCAGACGCGCGTCGCAGATTTGACGACTAACTGTTGTTTTCCTCCTTTTGTTCTTTTTGTTCCTTTTGCGTATGTACTTTTCCGTGTATCAGGTTTGCCAATTAGCGAGCGCGGAAAGCAACGAAAAAGTAGGCGCTGTCGGCGCTGCACAATCGCGGGGGGAAAACGGAAGAAAACTTTAGAATGTGGCAGAGAAACTAGACGCTTAGTTGCGCCGCTTAGTTAAGATGAATAGCTAGAATTTGTCAAGGTTCAAAAGTAAAATTATTTTGTTCACAGACGCGTCGGGTGACAGTAGAGATGTTAAAATATTGATATGTCAATATATCGATATACATGATAAAATATATGTAGGAGATGTGTTTTTGGATTGGCGAAAATATTATATGGATATTTGTTAGGGACTTATGATCAACAGAAATACTTTTTAAGAACAATCAGACATTATTTTTCTGTCGTTTTACATCTACCGACGTTTGATTCTACCTATCGCTGCAAAGGGTTGCTGAAAGAAAAATATCGGTACTTTTGTACGATAGACGGAACTTTTCGGCGGTTTATTTTGAAAACTACCATATTATTGACCAGTTGAACTACAAATTATAAAGTTATAGATAAGGTATATGTATGTATAATAATCAGCAAATACAAAAAATAGTGTACTTACATTTTTTACTTCAAATATCACTATGGGCTCACCTGCTTGTGCCAACACACCCATGTAAAAATCATGTAGAGGTGGGAACTTTCGCCGCTAGTGCCTCCGTAACAACTTCATCCCTGTGTAGTTGCCATGTAGCAGCCATGCAGCAGCAGCTGGTGGCTGTGTGCATAAATTTGTTATGTTATTAGAATTGCAGCGAAAAGAACTAATAATTGTGCACGCAGCGAGCTGTTTTACTGACCACCGCCTAGAGAACGATCCACCATGAGCTCCAACAACAAGTCAAAGTTTAAAATGTTTCTCAAACAGGTGACGCCGGCAGGTAACGAACGACTCCAATTGTTGGGGAGAGCACCCGGTCGTCGGGCCCTTCTTCTTCATTTGTTTTAATGCTGCGTTTTGCACAGGCAATGCAGGGGAGACCAGACTGCGGCCATACGAGCGGGAGCTGCGCCCGGAACAGCCCGTTGCACAGCGTTGCAAGATGCTCAAGGAGCTGGGTGACGCGCTGCACAACTTTAACTTGGATGAGGTATGTAGCAGGCAGACCGCAGAGAGCGAAATCAATCATAATGCTGGCTTCCGCCCCACAGACTTCCATAACCAACCTGTGGAATCTCACAAACGATCTCATAGTGCCCAACAAGCCGGCGGAAACGCGACAGATTGCCCTGAGCTTCTACAAGCGACTCATCCACACACAGTACAAGAACCTCAATCTCATGCGGGAGAAGTTCTTTCTGGTCATCCAGAATCACGAGGCGCGGGAGGACCTGCGGCATCTGCTCGAGCTGTTGGACACACTCACGGAAAACGGGAAGAATATCACAAACTTTGAAGAAAAGGTAAGGTGGCTGCCCCATACACCATGTGCTCGGAGTACTTTAACGTGTGCATCTTGATTGGTAGATTGGCAAATTCATGCTGCTGTGGATCCCAGCAATAACAGAGGCCAATCTCCTGTGCCCCTACCTAGACATGCTGGTCAATCTGATCAAGTTTAACGCAGCCCATCTGGACAAAGACATTCTCGTCGGAATCGTACAGTGGGTGATCTTGTCAGATATATATTCGCAATATATGCCACTTGCTAACGTTTGTTCTTCTGCCCAGGAATGCCTGCGAATTGAGCTGCACCGTCACCGACATCGACATCGGCCTGCAGTGCCTTACCATTCTTGAGATGGTCATTGGCTACACCATATTCCCCAGCGAGCCGCTTGCACAGTGCATCATCACTCTGTGTCGAACAGCTGACTGTTCGCGATACTGCCAGTCCTCCTTCAAGGTGAGATTTTATATTAAACTAAAGAGAAGTGTCTGTCCGAGAGAAGGTAATCCTAGACATCGCCGTGGTTTGGCACTAGATCTGTTTGACATGCAGGAGACTTTATCAAAAAACCAAAATCTAATTTTCAGTCCTACAATAGTATAACGATTCCAATTGGAACGTGGACTTCTGTGCCATGTGCCTGCCTCCTCTGCACATTGGCCATTCGTTACCTCTCTCTGAGACCGATGGTGGCTTGGATCTTCTTATCTTTTTATTAATTTTGTATTTCAAATGTCTCAAAATGAAACAAACTTTGACGAAAACTTATCGTAGCTAGCGAAGACTTCCCGTTCTGGTGGTGGCGGTGGTTTCTTTGCTATCACCGCCGTCTCAGTCACCATCAGAGGCTTCGCCTCGCTCTCTTGTCTCTGGCACTCCCTGGAGAGGTCCAGAGTGCAGTAGTGGTGCACCGCATCAAAGTACTGACCCCTGGGACACCTCATCTCGAGCACACGCCTGTCCGCACAGACATAGTAGCGACCGCAGTCCCTGCTGTGGGGCGCCAAGCGGCTGCCGGTGCTGATGCACTCGTCCAGGGCGAGCGCGTGGTCGGTAAGGAACGGCGGCAGGGTGGGCTTCTCGAAACAGATGCCAGTCGTGTCCAGCAGACAGCTGCCCACGCTGCTCTCAAAGTACTGACCCGCTGGGCACTGAACAAGCACCGCCTCGCCGCTCTCGCAGCGGTAGTAGGTCTCGCAGTCGCTCGGATTGGTCACCGTGGCGTGGTCCGGCAGGAGACAGCTGCACTGGTGAGCTGCCGTCACAGCCACTGGCAAGCAGGCGCGTCGTCCGGTGTCAAAGTAGCTGCCGCTAACGCAACGCGCCACTGAGTAGGCTCCGGCTGGCGTGCAGCGGCGGTAGCGGGTGCAGTCGCTCGGTATGCGCTCCGCACTGGTGGAGGAGTTGCAGGAGCTGGTCATGTCGCTGCAGGTACCGGGCACACAGATGCCCTGCTCGCTGCTATAGCGATAGTCGGAGGGACAGCTAAACTCCTGGTAGGCGTCCTCTGCATCGCCAGTGCAGACGTAGAACCTGCCGCAGTGATGCTCATCGGGCAGCAGTCTCCAGGCGGTCGAAAGCCGGCACACAGCGGCGATGCTCGGGTCATGCGATGCACTGGCACTCGCCGCCAGGAGCAGTAGTATCAGCATTAAACAATCTGCAAGCAAACAAGCTCTGGTTTAGTAGTCCGTCCTTTGATCGGATGTCGTCTCCTGTTCCCTTCCCCACTCACTTTCCATTTGAATTAGTATCTTGTTGCGCTTCGAATAGCGAATGCGGCACTGGTTTGACTACGACTACCTTTTTATGTCCTCCACATCACATCACATCATCGTTTTGCTTGCTCACCAATCGCTGCCGAGATTGCATTGACATTCGATTATTAATGCTAATGAAAATTCCCTCAGTCAATATCTGAGCCCCAGTCCCAGCACCGTCTTATCAGAGAATTACACATTCTGCGCGACATCTTATCGACAGCCACGACATGCTTCCAGATGGATGATTAACTAAACAACGATCAATGAATCTGTACACTTCGATTCAAAACGATTCTTCAGCTGTTGCTTGTGTTTTTCCAGCCAAACTCAAGGCCAAAACTCGTGTTAAGAGGAACGATGCGCGATAACCCAGTTCGGTCATGACCTCAGGCATAGTAGCATCCGATGAGATTCTTGGGCAGGCAGCGCAGACCATCGAATCCGTTCTGTTGCACTTTGAAGACGGCCGCCCGAGTGCCGTACTCCAGGGCGTCACGCAGGTGCAGCTTTGCCTCCAGCAAAGCATAGATCACCGCCGCCACGAACGTCGCGTTCTCACCGATCACGTCCACGATCTTTTGAGGCGTATGCGGTCCCACCTTAAAGAACGTATTATCGGGCAGGAGGCAGCTGGCGCCCTCCGCATAGTTGTTGTAGATAATGGTGGGGCCGTTCTGAGGTGGACCCAGGCATATGTTTGGGTCCACGGGCGGAGTGCCCTGTGTGGGGTGGGGCGTCTTTCGGGGCTGATTCCTCTCCCATTCGGCACGCACTTGACGTAATCCGTCGCGTACGGCCCACACCGTCTCGTGGCCGTTCATGAAGGCATACGCCTGCTTAAGCTGCTTGCGGACAAACACATAATCCACCAGGTCGGCCACCATTAGGCTGGGCCTCTTCAGGCTGGCCAGGTCAGCGGACAGAATGATTCTCGCCTCCGGGCAGCGCTCGTTGAAGGCGCGCACGGCCCGGATCATGCGCACCGTTTCCAAGGGATTGCGGCACTCGAAGTGCACCCACGAGTACCGCTGGTAGTCGATGGCGCCAATGAACTGCTGAAAGGTGAGCTCCTGCCGGCGATTCGAGTACTCCAGGATGGTGTGCGTCTCGCAGCCGCGTATCGTGATGATGCTGCGGTGCGTCGGCTGGTGGGCCGACATTGGGCAGTGGGAGATGTCGATGCCCATGGAGCGGAAGCTGGTGAGCAGATCCTCGAAGGCGCTGGCCCTGCTCAGTCGCCCAAGGAACTCGCACGCCGTTCCCAGCCGACGCAGAACGCTGCACATGTCGGAGGCGCTACCGCCGCGCCGCCAGCAACCCTCGCTGGTGCGCTGATCCACGCCGGCCGTGGGATGAACCTCACACACCGTGACCAGATCCAGGGTGCAGCTACCCACCACGAGCACATGGCGTGGGGGCGGTGGCGGCGGCGGTGGTGGCGGCGATGGGTCCCGTGGCAAGTAGCGCACCTTTTTCACCGTAATGAACTCCCTCACGATTTGTTTTTTCATATTTGGAGAATCCTTTTTTTGAATTTGGAATAAAATCTCTGCCAAAAATAGTATGGAAATGATTCCAATCTCTCGGAAAGAATGAAGCGCATGAATACCCCAAAATTCGGATGAAATATGAGGGGGAATATATCTTTCATTATCGTTTTCCTTTGCAGATAATGAAGAACCTGTTGGGCACCCAGCTGGGCTATTACTCCATGAAGATGATGTGCAGCATCCTCAACGATCGTTCCCTCTACGACGATGCGCAGCTGTTGCGCGGAGCTGTCTTCCACCTGACGATGAACATCTTCGGCTCAAACATCATTTTCCAGGTCTCGTCGATGACGTATGCGACTAATGTGCTCACTGGATTCCTGCGCGTAAGTGGCACTACACCACACTATCCATGATTATGTGTATGAGTATTGTGTGTGTTTCCAGGCACTGGATAGTCGGCAGGTGATCGTCACGTTCGAGGTGATACTCAGCGTGCGCAAGGTGATCAACAAGACGCGCCTCTCGGAGATCATTTGGGACAGAATCTGCGACATTATGTCGGCGATTGTGAACAACATAGAGTTTTACGGTATGTACCAGCATCATGGCTACGTTTATCACGATAATCAACTGATGTTCCATCCATACAGAGATCTCTGGCATAAACAAGGATCGCCTACAGTCTCTGCAGATCAATTTCCACGAGAACATCGACTGCATCGAGAAGCTGCTGCAGCAGGACCGCTCCCAGATACTGGGCAACGTCGATCGCATCTACGATCTCATCGAGCGTGTGGCAGACAGGCGGCCAGAGGCCTCTGTGCTGGCCCTGATCGAGTACCGGTCGCGTCAGGTGACCGCCACACGGCCGGAGTGGCTGCAGGTGCTGACGCATTTCATCCGACGCTACTTCCGCATGGCCAATGTGAATGTTCGCATCAAGACGATCGAGTCGCTGGTGCGCATCATGGACCAGAACCGCGCCTGCTACGAGGAGGAGATACTCAATCGCGTGGTCCTCACCCATCTGGCACCAATCCATCAGGAGCCCAGTGTGCAGGTGCGTGTGGCCGTGGCCCGGGCCTTGACCAACTTTGCCCTGCACTGCGACACCAAGCGCTGTGTGGATCTGCTGGACACGCTTGAGGCGCTCATTAATCGTCCCTTCGAGCACATGCGTCACCTGGCCGCAGCAGATTCTGGGGCGCCTCTGCTGGAGGGGTCGGTGGTCATAATCAAGAATGAGTCGGAGGTGGCCGACATCATTGCTGCCGTCGATGGGCTGGTCAAGGTCTTTGCCACGAAGCTGCATCGCCTTCCAGCTGCGCATGCCATGAAGATATTCAACATTCTGCTGGAGCACCTGGAGCTGCATTACGATTGGCCCAAGATCTTCGAGCAGACCAGCATTGTGCGCCTTAAAGTGAGTATAGGAACAACAGGGCTTACTTTGTATTTAACTTTGCATATCGGTGTAGATATTCACTTGGATACTCAAGGCTCGGGCCAACGCCTCCTACCACATTGGCTATCCGGAGGGCAGCACTGAGGCGGTAAAGTTCAGCCATTATTTGGGCATTGATTCGCCGCTGCTGCCGCAGGCACATGCCACTGCGATTTCGATACGACGCGTCTGCAAGCTGATTGTGCGGTGCCTGGAGCAGGACACGGACTTTCAGGTGTTTGAGCTGGTCATCAAGGAGCTGCCGAAAATGCTGCAGAACAAGGCGCTCATTCAGGGCAATGACATCGAGGAGCTGGCCAACACCCTCTTCAAGATCAATTCGGTCAGCAACAACAAGTTCAAGCGCTCCACCGACGAATTTCACGCTCTGGTGCTGCCCGCCATCGCCTCGCTGGTGATATACCACGAGTGCCTGCAGCCGCCGCAGCACTACAGCATCATCACGGCCCTCAATGCGCGCGTGCTGACTGGCATCGCCAGCGTGTGCATCAACACCATGACCATCCTGATGCTGGAAATGCCCGAGTCGCTGATGCGGAAGCTGCCGGAGGTGCTGCTGCAGATGAGCAAGATGTCCGACACGAACACACTGGCCATTCCAGTGCTGGAGTTTCTGTCGTGTAAGTAAATGGAATATCCAGAGGACTTTTACCCTCTATTTCTTTGGGCAGTGCTGATCCACCTGTCGAAGCATCTCTTCACCAACTTCACGTCCATGCACAATATGTACGTGTTTGCCATTTCACTGCCGTACACGAAGCCGCATCGCTATGACCACTATACAGTGTCGCTAGCCCACAACGTCATAGCCGGCTGGTTCCTCAAGTGCAAGCTGGAGCTGCGCAAGAACTGCGTTAGCTACATCAAGAGCGTAAGTTGCGAGTCGAAGACTCTATGATCTGATCTGTGTGATTCCACTCCTGTCCCACAGTCGATGCAGTCGAATGCCAAAATGCTGTCCAACGACATTGTTAACATGAACTCCCTGAACGAGGACTCGTCCAGTCGCAAGCGCAGCACCAGCCTCACGGAGCGTGGCAGCCGGAAAAATGCCACGGCCCGAAATGATCCCGAGATGCGGCCACAGATGAACAACGGGCTGCGGAACTTTCACACGGAGCTGGCGGAGACCTGCTTCGATTTCCTCTCCCGTCACACCTTCTCGCCCTGTCCGTCGGCACCCAAGCGGTACGTACAAAAGCCTCTTTTGGGCCCCTTTTTAAGCCCTTTTCCATTATCCTCTTGCAGTCTGCCAGCAGCCGAGTTTCTGCTGAAGGATGGCGTCTCGCAGACCTGGCTGGTGGGCAATAATCTGGTGACGATCACCACCTCCGGCTGCCCCTCTGCACCCACGCGCAGCGGCCTCTGCGAGCGGTGCGCGCAGCTGGGCAAAGCCCCCAGCATCAGCCTCAATTCGAAGAGCCTGAGCGACGCAGCGGCACCGCTCTCTCCCGAACGGGAGCGCCGCTACACCAAGGTGAGCCTGCAGCACAGCAGCGGCAACGAGTCGGCCGGAAGCACGGAGCTTACCTCCTCCTCCTCGTCCAACTCGGCGGCCACCAACCATCCGCACCGACAGATCTCCAACAGCTCGACAGCCTCACTGGATGCGCTGTCGCGTCGGGGTTCCAATCCCGAGGCCCTGGGCGGAGGAGGACTCGGCGACGGACCGCACACGGGAAGCAACACCTCGCTGCTGGGCAATTCCTTGTCGCAATCTTCGGCCAGCATGAGTCCCGCGGGTTCTGTCGTCCAGCAGCCGGTTTGTGTGCGGGCCTGCACTGGCTGGGCGGAGATCTTCATCCGTCGTCCGACTGGGAACATCTCGTGGATCACGCGCATCCAAAATCCCATCACCAACGACTGCTTCGGACAGGATCTGCCCTTCAATAATGTGGTGTCGCTCTTCTTGCCCACGGCCTACGGCGGAGTGTTTGGGCCGGACAGCACTCTGCAGGACAGCTCAGTACCGGTGCAGCCGCAACCGGAAGCAGATGGGGAACAAGAAACGCCGGAGGAACAGGCCGTGGAACCACAGCCCAATCCTGCTGTAGCTGCACCCACAAGCGAGCTGCGGGCCAAAGCCCGAGCCCTTCAGCGTCAGGAGGAGATTCATTCGGTTGGCGGCGTTGGCAGTGGAAACGGCAATGGCAATGGCAACGGCAACGGCAATGGTAGCGGTCCCTCGGGAACTGCAGCGATTCCCATACCCCGTGTCACCGCTCCTGGCAAGCGCGGCAAGGAGGCAGCTCTCTGCGGGAGTGTGAGCGACGGCGAGGCAGACGACGACTCGCTGGCGTTTGAGGATGCGCAGAGTCGGGCACGCAATCCCGTGCGCCGGGTCAACTCCAGTCCAGAGATGAGCTCCAGCTGGCGGCTGGCGTTTCTGACCGCCAAGCCGGCGCCGCTCTCCCAGGAGCCGGTCAAAGTGGTGGATGAGCCGCAGAGCCAGCTTACGCTGAAGAAAAAGAGTGTCCAGTACAGCACGAAGGATATGCGGGTCAGCTGCGAGGCTATTCCGGAGGAGATAGCCGGCTCTACGCCTCCACAGATTGTCCAAGACCTTCAGCCGGAGAGCGGCACCCTACCACCCAAGCAACATTCGGCAGACGATGTCAGCAGCCATCCTGCTGCCGCGGGAATCAGCCAGCCCACGGCTTCGGGTTTGCAGGTATCGGCAGCGAAACCTCCATTGTCGCCGGCTCCTGGTCCGACAACGGCTACGGCTACAGCAGTGCCTGCCGTGAAACAGCCACCACTGCTGGCAGCGTCCAAGATCACGAGCTTCGGCGGCGCGTCTGGGCCTCCTCAGCAGCTGCTGCAGGGCGTGGCCAAGTCCAGCAGCAGTGGCAGCAATGGGACGAATGTGGGCGCCACCTCGGAGTATGGCAACAATGGCAACGGAAACGGCGACATGATGCGGGGACGGTCAAAGACCATCTCGACGGTGCGTGAGGTGATCAATGGCAAGGCACGTCCACCGCCAGCCAGCAGTTTCCGCAACTTTGGGCCCGCCAAACCGCCGATCAATGCCAAGCTGTGCATGAATCCCAGCTTTGTGTTCCTGCAGCTGTACAGCACGGGGTCCCTCGGGGTTACGGAAATGCCCCTGAAGCTGGGGCCCGAGCACTCGAATGCGGTGACGCTGTTCGATCTCGTGCCGCCATTCGAGACGCACAAGATCGGTGTGCTGTACGTGGGCCACGGACAGTGCAATAACGAGGTCGAGATCCTGCGCAATTCGCACGGCAGCACGCGCTACGTGGAGTTCCTGCGCAACATCGGCACCCTGGTCAGTCTGAAGGAGGCCGAGCAGAACAACCTGTTCATTGGGCTCGACAGGAACGGGGCCGATGGCAAGTTTGCCTACATCTGGAAGGATGACATTCTGCAGGTGACCTTTCACGTGGCCACGCTGATGCCCACCAAGCTGAAGGACGATCCCAACTGCAACGAGAAGAAGTGCCACATCGGCAACGATTTCGTGAAGATCATTTACAACGAGAGCGGCGAGGAATATAACCTGAACACCATATCCGTAAGAGCCAAAAGACACAATGCACTCCCTCCAAAAGCGGTACCCTGATTGCGTTTTCCCTTCTCCTTTGCAGGGCCAATTCAACTATGCCTGCGTAATTGTCGAGCCCCTGGAGCTGAACTCCAATCGGGTCTACGTGAAGGCTCGCTCCGAGATATCGAAGTTCGTCTGCCATCCACAGCCGAGGATTGTGTCCGACCGCAGTGCTCCGCTGCTGGCCCGTCAAATGGCGCTGCACGCCAACGTGAGTAGAGGCGCTTAATGAACCATTTGGTTGCTTACTAACTGCTGCGGTATCTTACAGCTCGCCTCGCTTGTCTACCAGAGTGTGCAGAAACAGAACCCGTACGCCTCCAACTGGCTGGAACGACTGCGCAAGATAAAGCGCCTGCGGGCCAAGGTAGGTCCCTCCCACTGTGGCATTACTGAGGTAAATTCGCTATAACGGCGCTTTGTATTCCTCCATAGCTCACCGAAGCCAACAACAGTCAGCAGCACAGCGGTGCGTCGAGCGGCATTGGCATCAACTCCTCGGCAATTGGCTCGGACATGGACGACCAGCGAGCGGACTTTATGAAGTTCACATAGACAACTACTGGGAAGCGAGGCTGTAAGCTCGGGAGCAGTAACAATCATCCTGCCTGGCTCCCCACACAGATTTCTGGATACCGTCAGTGCAGGGCGGCTGAGTGCCAGCTAAAAACATATAATCATGATACATACATACATATATTCGTAATGACTTTGACAAGTTTATAAAATTTGTGAAAATACATAAGCGCTGCCATCCGTGAGGATGCAGCAGGAAACCTTCAACGAAAATGAGGCAGAGTTTCTGCAGAGCCACTTTCTATACGAACATCTTTTCGAATCAAACTCTTTGAGCTTTTTTCCATTGTTTCTAGGCCACTCTAAGCTCTCCAATGTGATCGTAGGCGAATCTGGTGATCTTGTGGCTGGCCACACGATTGGCAAAGTCCACAGCCTCCGCTAGATCCCGCTTAAGCACGTGGGCGGCGTATATGAAGCCAGCCATGAAGCTATCGCCCGCGCCCAGTGTGTCCACCACCTGCAGGGGCTTGTACGGAGGCAGCTCATGGTAGTTGCCGCTGGCATCCAGACAGACAGCGCCTGAACTGCCCCAGGGGCAGATGATCACTGGAGGGGTACGTGTTCCCTGCAAAGACAGGTCGGTTGCAAGGGATTCGCACGTTTCCTTTGGGCTCTTCCAACCCCTCTGGCTGGCCAGTTCCTTGGAGAAGACCATATAGTCGCAGGAATAGCACAGCTTCAGGTTCTGTTCGTACAAAGTCTCGAAGTCTAGGGATATGATGATGCGTTCGCCGCTGATTCGGTTGTGCTCCACAATGCTCTCCATCATCCTGGAGGTCTCTGCGACATTGCGAGCCTCAAAATGGACCCATCCGTAGCGCGTGAGGTCGATCTTCTTGAAGTCTTCCCAGGTGACTTGCGGATAGTTTTTGTTGCAGTGGATAATGGTGCGCGTGCCGGTGTCCTGGGCAAGTATCACCGATGAGAACGGCGGATCCTTGTCCGTTTGTGGACAGTGGCTCGTGCCAATGTCCCGCCGCCGCAAGTCCTCCAGCAGCACTCGAAACGCATCCGAGCTGCTCAGCATTCCAAAAAAGTCCACCTTCGACCCCAGCATGCCCAAGACAGTGCACACATTGGAGGCGTTGCCGCCACGCTGCCAGAAGCCGTCGAGGCAGCGTCGATCGGTGTCCTCCTTGGGGTAGCTGCTGGTGATCGTCACAAAATCGATGACGGTGCAGCCCACGCACAGCACGGGCTTTTCGAGCGTCTCCTCGGTCATTGCAACACAGATCTTTGCTGGTTGGGTCACTCACGCGACTATCGAGAGTGTTCTGCTGGATTTACAGTCTTCTATAGCTTTATTTTCCACTCAATCTAATCAGAATCTACGTGTGTTCGAGTGTGAGGCCATACATTGCACCATTTGCTGCTTTTATTTACTGTCGATCGTGTTTTACAGCTGTTTGGATACACTGACAGTGAGTATTACGATTATGCTGAGACCGCATGTTACACATACAAAATTATTCCACGGCAGACACCTGATCCATCAAAAGAGTAACTAAAGCTTCGACTAGCAAAGCTCTTTCTCTCTCTATTGCTTATCAAGCGGAGAGAGAAGCTACTACGCCACAGTCTCAGCCGCTGATCTCTCGGCTATTAATTTCTCTTAGAACTGTGCTCTTAACTACGGATGAGTTCTTTGTACTCCCACTACTACAGCTGGTAGAGAAAACTGAAAAGGTATTCAATGTTTCGACCCTTTGCATGTGTAGACTGCACTCAAATATGTAGCGTCGCGCCAATTGCATATCATTAACGGCCAACCATAAACATTAAGCCAGACGGCTATTATTGAATTACCATAAGTGTGTAATGCCGATTTATTCATGCTGTAGTATATGAATGTAAATTGATTAAATTGATTGGTGTCATTCCATTTGCTAAATGCCTGACGCGGAAGTCAACCAATGTACATATGTACATATGTGAATGTGGCAGGAAGCTCTCAAGGAAAGTTCACAGGATGACCCCCAAAAAAATGATTGTACATGTGTCGAACTTTTTTCGACTGACATTTGGGAATTATGATAATTTGCATAACATGATTTTGTTACGCCCCGCGCAAAAGTCGGTCGTGCCTGCATCATGATGGGGCAGAAATCAACGAATGCCGCGCACCGCAAATACCATGACTAGACAGACACATGACTGGGCTGTCGCTGCCACCTACCACGACAATAAGCTCAGCAAAACTTTGCTTTAATGAACAAGCCGCGAACAAAGTTGAACCATTTTCCCCGTTTGCCTGCGCTTCAGGTGTGTACAAATTCATTAAATGGATTACATTGCAGTAATTACATATGCACGAGGAGTACCTATGTACAGATTAACATTAATTAACACAAAATGCCTGTGCTTGCAGTTGTCTATGGCTGGCGAGTGGGTAGAAAGGAAAACAGCAGTCTTCGTACCTATTGTACCTCTTTTGATCCTTTCAGTCTGGTTGGAATATTAAAGCTGTTCCAGTAATTGCTACAGAAGCATAATTGGCACATGGTTCCACAAGGTGAGAAATTCCACAAATTCTTTGCCAATCTTGGGCCTTCGCAATGTCTCTACTTAAATAAAGTTCTTTAATTAAAGTGTCTGGTGTGGGAGGCGAACCTACCGGGCGGTCGTGTTTCAAGCCGCGCAAACAAAGTTTTAAAGCGGGTTAGATGGTGACGGTTCCTCTCCTTAGACTTGGCTGAGTGTGGGCTTCTTCCATAAATCGATAGCTCGACATTTGCTTGTCTCTGTGGCCGCGCGGCGACAATTTCTTGAGGTACCATTTTGCGGCGTGGAATTATGGCAGGAAATTGCCTTAAAGTGTCAATCACTGGTAAATGCTCTTAATAGGCATTTATTTTTGCCATTTTAATTACCCCCTCTTTTAATACCACAAGGACTGGGCTTGGGCTCCCACTCCCCTGCCAACGGACAACATCGACTGAACTGATGAAAACGACTGATGATGGCATAATTACGTTCCCGCGAGAAGAACTCATTTCCGGCAGAATTATTTATGTACAAATATGGGTCGTCGTCTCGTCGTTCCTGGAATATTAGCCGAAAAGGTGTTTACAGCCGATTCTATGATTTAGTGGCACATCTACGTGACTTCCCCAAGTTAAGGACAAACTTTAGCAGCAGCACATAGCAAAAAGATTATGTTGGCACACTGCTGACACCTTCAGAACTTCGATTGTGCGAGGGAACTCTGTAGTACAGTGGTCGAACCCAAGCAAAATCAAAACATTTAATCAAAAGAACGCTGATCAAATCGATGTGAATTGTCTTGTATTTCTTAGTGATTTGTTTGATTATTTCTGTCTTTGGCAAGGCGTGCCAGCTAGTGTTCACTGTGCGATGGAGTGGGATTATCGCGTGCGTGCCAGTCTTGGTTAACGAATTCAACATTTTGTATCGAATGGCACACACTCCCAAAGCCCTGATGGCCCCAAGCAACAGTTAACACAAACTGGCCAATGGTAATAGCACACTGGAGAGTGTCCCAACGCAACCACCACCAGCACCAGCTCCAGCTCCAGCACCAGGACCAGGTAAGGGTCAGCGTCAGCCCTTGCCTCCCCAGGATCTGCCAGTAAAATTTCTGCTGTTTAATGCAGAAATACGTGAGACTGGAACTTGCAATTCGATACCGGTTTGTTTAGCTCTTTACTGCAGTTTTAAGCCATTGGAATCGATGGGAATGGCAATCGAAATCATTGGGAAATCCTCCATTCCAGGTATTAGTGCTTATACGAGTATAGGTGTAGTCTGTGGCAAAGCTTTCTCTTATGATTGCAATATTTGGCATTGTATTTTTGTTAAATAAATTGAGCTGCCCAAGTACACGAGTATTTCTCCAAGAGTAAATGTTTTATGATAATAAAAAGATGATGAACAATACACTCGTACATATGTGAGTGCGTACATATGAGCACTCGTATGTTTGCACTTATGTATGTATGTAGAATCGGGGCGTGCAATCAGGTTAATGTATTCAAAACGAGCGTCGCGTCGTATGCACACACACTGCCCATAAATAATATCCCTCGCACCGTTAGTCAATTCCCCAGCCGTTGCGAATGCCCAACAGTTGCCTCAAGTGGCCGCCACTGACAGATGTACAAATAAGAGTGCACAACAGGATTGTATCCTTGTGTCTCTATGAAAATGGAGCTTCGAGGGAAGCTCTGCTCTGCATATGAGAAATCTGTTCAGCTGAATCGTGACCCAGAGAGTACTTAAGAACGACAGATAACTCAATTGAAAGTAACTGATTCAATTCCGCCTCTGTTCGGTTCGGTATTCCTTTTGCTATGTAAAGTAAGTGTTTGGCAAAAATCAAATATCAGTATTTTCTTGTACTATTTACAGACCTATTCGTATATTCGCCATGACATAAGCTCAGATTTCAGTAAATTTTGTTGCTCGATTATCCACTTCGCTCTTTGCTTTGACACAAAATGATTTTATCCTGGGAATAATTGATTTTATGATACTTCTAAGCTGCACATTTTTTTAGGCCTGAATTAATGGTCCTTTCTGCAAGCGGAAATTAATTCGAATTTGTATCATCGATTGATAAATGGTGTCGCTGTTTGGAAACTCTTCTTAAAGCTGAAATGAAATAAATACTGGATATAATTTATCATTTTCTACGTCAATACACAATCGGATTTTGTAGAGCTTTAAACTGCTGGAATCATCCAAAGTGAAAAGGAATTCTTCGCTGCTGTGCGCGATGTGTCAGTATCAGTATTGGGAAGCATACTCGTATAGTAAATTCTCATGGCATAAATTAGGGAAATAAATTATATTTATCAATCGAACTCATAAATAATATTTACTGCCGCCTCTGAAAGCACACCTTGCTGACGTCGCTGCTTTGGCATTGCCAGCCCGCCCCCGTGGGGCGTTGGTGCTTGTGTAGCGTTGAGTCTGTGCAGGTCCTGCCTACTCGTATAGCTCGTAAAGCATCAATCAAAAGTATTAAATACAATTATAATTGTCTGTCACCGTATCGAGATGAAAAGCCTGCCGCCGCCACCAAGGATTTTCCGGTTGCTGCGACATATCGCCAGGGATGCTGCTGGATGCCTTGGGGCTTCGCATTTACTTTAATACCTCGATGCCATTCCAGTTGAAATGTCGACAGTCATATATGCAGTGGATTTATGTCGTTGTCTCATTAAATTGTGATGGAAAAACCCAATATGTTGCCATAGTTTGTGGAAAGAGTTTCCCTGGCAGACCTGGTCGAGGCAGGTGCATCTCTTTCACTGGATTAATTTTTCGTCCGTTTTGGGTGTGTTTTTTTAGAGCCTTGCATTCAGCATATACCGAGAATTGCGGCACACTTAGGAGCAGAGACGACCGCAAGGCTTGAGAAAGTAAAATGTTTAATTTCCGGATGCACGGTCCGTTGAGTTTCCTGGTGAGGCGCCCAAATGTATGCAAGGAGGAGCATACCATGCAGATGCTTCAGGCTTCCGGCACTTGACTGCATGCGAAAGGTCTGCCTGTAGCGTCTGTGTGCGTGGGCTGGATGCCCAGTTGCCATCCACGGGCCATCTGACCGTAGCATGAAAAGTGGGGCGAGTGCAGCTGAAAGTGAAGCGCAATTTCCGGCGTCTCCGCCAGAAGCAGCCTCCATCCTCATTCTGTCTAATTTCTCTCTCATCCGTAACAGGGGAACAACAGTCGGGAAAATGAAAATATATTGCTGCTGCTGTGCCCGCTCGCATTGCATCCATTGTCGCTACTTCATCGGTAATTGGGCACGGACAATCGAGCGAACAAGCGAACTACGGTCAAACAATACCCGTAAACACTCAATGCATTGGGTCGAGTTTAATGACACTTTGCATCGGTGACGATGACTCCTCCTCTCGACTCGCACAGCAATTGGAAATTAAACAAAGCCAGCGATGGATGGAGGATGGAGGATGCGACTCTGACCCGCATGTTGGATCGAACGCCGGCCACAAGGTGTCTACATAATAATTTATAATGGTCGGACAGGCAGGACACGACCACAGACGGCCACACAGGACGCGGAGAGAAAGAAAGTGGCGTGAAAAAATACACGATAATAGCGCCAGACGGCTGCAGTGCCATTTCTCAAACTCAAGCACCGGACCGAACGACCGAGTCGAGTCGAGGACACTTGGCTCACAGCCAGGCCCATGAGTCAGTACCAGTTCCAGTCCGAGTCGCATTCACGTCCATGGACGACGACAGTTCGTAGGTGAGTGACCAGCTCTTGTTTACAAGCAAGATTCACTTTGCAAACTCTGGTTAGCCATACGGATGGTCGGCGAAGGGTAAAGGTACCGGAAAGGAATCGATACCACAATGCCCTTGCCTCACGATATGGATATCATGCATTTGGTTCGTTACACTCTTAAAGAGAGACAGATTTTTGTCTGCCGCGGTAGTATATACAGTTCAGTTTCCAGCCCCAAACTCGTAGACCATTCAGTATACAAAATTCCAAACAAAGTACGAGTACATATTGTAGATCTGTTCCTGCCTTTTAATCCGTGTGTTAATCCACATCCTATAGCCCTCCTTTTTTCTAGTATTATCCTGAATTAGCCAACCCCTTCAACAGTATTATTTTAACATACGTAGTCATTTACATCGATTCTATTGGATATTTATACTCTCCTCCGCTGGTAGATCCTTCAAGTACGAGTATGTACTGCCTCGAATGCAGTGAAGCAAGAAGCCAGTGCCAGTGCCAGAGCCAGAGCCAGTGCTGCCATTTATAATCCAAGCGAAGTGCCTATCGATGGAATGGCGGATGCCGAATGGCGAGTGCCGAGTGCCTAGTGCAGTGTGGTGAGGAGGCAATCCTCGTTCCTGTCGTGGCTTAAATTTATTGCGGTGCTATTGATATTTTAAATAAATGTGCCGTGACACAAATAAAACACTTTTCAGTGGATACTCGTACGAAAACACGGATTGGATGCCTTCGATGCTTGTTTATTCATTGTGTATTTTTCCTGCTTTGGGAATTGAACCACTTTTCGAGCGTGCAACTGACCTTGTTTGTGTGAATGAAATATACGGAGTAAAATGGAATGTTCACTGGTTCTTAAACATCGGCACAGGATTGATTGCATTTGGAGCAATGTCTTTGAGTAATTGAAAGGCCCAATCAGACGGTAGAGGCTAATGACACAACACATTCATGACATATTACTATGGAAAAAAGCTGAGGCTTTAAATGTCATTCAGTCTCTGTCCAATCAAATCCTCTTAAAGAATCCCTCCTGCCAGCCATTGTAGCGGGCCGCTTTTAAAGTCTTTCGTTCGGGATGTGCGTGCGACACACAGAGAGGAGCACCGAGAGGGCCCCTGCTCGGGGCTCATTATTTCCCCGAGTAATATGCTAAAATGACTCGAACACACAGGCGACACACAGCAGACGTCTGGCTGTCGCTAAAGCGCTGGGCTGGGCTGGGAAATGTTTTTAATTGAAAAGAACTTGCGAGGCGTGGCGGCGCAAGGTGGGTTGACTGCAGGAGCATTCTCCACCACCATCCACTTGCAGGAGGGTTAACACGGTTTCGTCACTTGTACGACGAGCTGGGAGAGTTGGGATACGGGCTGCTAGTGTTCCCCGGCATGGCACTGCTGCAAGCGGCGGCAACAGAGCTCTTAAAGCTCCGCCTGGAATATGGCTAATTTACATTTATTTGCCTGCAATTTCAATGTCGCTTTGTTGAACCAATGTACGTACTCGTATCTCGTGCATGTACGCTTTTGTGACAGTCTGAATGACCTTTAAAAAATTATTCTGATCAAGATAAATTGTAATTTGCACAAATCTGATAAGTCAAATAACCACAGAACAGTGAAAGGTAATCTAATAGACGCAACTATCAAAGGATATCTAACATATGTATTTTGGGAAGCATTTCAAGACCCAGTGAGGGTTAACACTCTCAAAACGCACACCATTAAAACGTCATAGTGTCAGTTCAAAGGTTCTTTTTGCTTACATTCATATTATTGTAATTATTTTACCTGTATCCCAAGGCCAACTTATACGCCTCACTACGCTGCTAAGCACTGCATTAAAGCTGCAATCTGGCTTGGCCCTGCAAATGGATGCACTGGGCGGGTGGTGATGGAGATGCCTGGAGTGGGTTCGCCATGGCTCGGTGCTATTTGTAATTCGAGAGCGTGCTTACGTATATAAAGTGCGTATTTTTATGACGCCATTATGATGTCTAAATATACGAGTAAGAGACGCAACCGCGTATTCGCGTATCTGCGCAGCCGAGCCAAGCAGCCTGACTAACAGCCAGTCATAACACTTCTATGGCGGAATCAAGACATTTATCATAATGTTTACCGAGCAGAGCGGGCGGGTCGGATCGGATAGGGGCCTGCAAATAATCCTCTCGGATGTTGCAAGCATCGTCCTCTTCTGAGTGAACTCGTTACGGTTTGCCGTTGCCGTTGCCGCTGCCGCTGCCTCTTTTGCTCCTCTGTTGCAAGCTAAAGAATATTATTAAAAGAAACTTAATTTGCATCCACAGCTTGTACGATGGCGGGTATTAGGTTCTCCTCATCAGGAGGATGCCTGACCAGAGTGCCTCGTTTAGTATCAACTTAGGCAATATTAAATTCTCCGAATCTGTTGGCTAACTGCGATGCCAATTAGTAATCGCTCATTGAATGACAACGATGGCCCCCTTCTGAGAACCCTTCATTTATCAAACTGCATCCATAACCATCCATGCCTTCACCACACCCCACCCCCCCGTCTGGCTGGTTGCAGCTGCGGCCAAACTTTTTAATGGAAAAATAAGCACTGTTGTCCACTCCAGTTGGCTCTAGCCTGTATACGAGCTCAGATTTTGTACGTACGTGGCAGCTTTTTCATAGTAATTGCCATTAAATTGCAACAATTCAACTTGACAATGTGTAATTGATGTCGGGGAAACCAAGACGACTCCTCACAATGCAGCGCATTTTCCATAATTTGTAAGATTTTCGATGCATTGTTGCACAGCAATTTCAAGACAAAGTTGCATAAACCAAGTCGGGAAGAAGTTGACGACTTCTGGCCAACATTTATGCAACTTTTGCCAGTTTCTGGCAGTTTGAAGGCTCATCTGAATGCTAGTGATACGTCATAGATATCGTAGTCCCACTTACCTTCGGAAATGTGAAATCAAACTACATTTAAATTGTGAATTTACTTAACAAATACGTTTAATGTTTATGGTTCAAGCGTGTAAATAAAGCTTTGTTGCACTTTACGCATTATATGTCTGTTATTTGTATTCCATTGTAAATAAATTGCGTTTTTGATATAGTTTTCCATAATATTTTAAGTTCAACTTCTAATTACCATATGCGTGGGTCGGGGAGGGTATGTGTTAAATATGTATGTTGGTATTTCTCATCCAAGTATCCATATGGGGTACTCTAAACTAGAGATTAGATATTTGTACGCCAATGCAAGGGAAGGGGCTAAAGCTAAACTCTAAAATACGATCGCTATGCAGCTCTATACATACATACATAACTCAATAAATACATACAAATACAGTTAACATTTTTTATTGCGGTTTATATATATAGGTAGATATTGTAATATATTTTATATGTTCCCCGAATACTATGATGTATTCATCTATTTTGTACACGTTTACAAATATATGTATATATAAATAATTTCTCTATATATATCATGTTTGTGTGTTTGTGTATGTGTACACATATGTTTCTCTATATGTAATTTAGAACTTGTGTCACGCTTTCCCGAAGGTAATATATACAAAATCCTGGAGCAAATACCTGCGATTGCTGTTCCAGAATGTCCACCCAATATAATTTATGTATGGAGAACAGTACTACTCTACACGTAATTACATATACATATGTTTAGTATATTTTCCTAAAGGTTTTTGACGAAAATCGGAGGAAAGTCGAAGCCACCTAAAGATTTAAGGGACCTACGAATCTATGGTACCCAACCAATTGTTTTTTTGTTCCTTTTATGAACTCCTGTTCCCATTCGAAATCTAATAAAAACAGCAAATGTATAGGATAGTTAGATATTATGGAATGTTAACAGAAATTGCAAGGCCGCTTGGCATTCCCCATATGTAACTGCTACTTATGGAGAGCTCTTACAGTACAGACAGATGCAAACATCAATAGGTATCGGCATAGACTTATTTCTGTCCGTATCACATCACAAATTGTATCACCCATATCACCCCTGGGGGGGGGTCCCATTCATTCATTGCCTTGAAATTTAAACTCAAATTCTATTTCCAAAAGTGTGTTGCGTATAGCTTTGTGAGGGAAGAAGAATTTAGATCCTTTAAGCATACAGTTTAATACTTACACAACATTGGCCGATGATCGGCTAATACTCTAGTTTGGTATACATACGTCCAAGGGAGTTTAAGCTACTTTTGTATTATATTCTATGCTGTTGGGAATGGGAATGTTTAAGATAATTGTATTGTATTTTCCACACTAGTACGTAAATACAACATTCAATTGAATTGGGAATATCGGAAAGTGTTTGTGCTAAAAGATAACGCAGTCTATGGAGTGGTGGAAAAATACAGTAAATACTATGGAGCGGACAAGCATTTCATTTTGATCATTAATCGTGTCTGCTTAAGGTTTCCCACAAATGTTCGCAGTATCCACGCATAATTAGTATATACTTTATATATATTGTGGATATTTATTAACATGTTTTATACATGCAATAAGTACGATAATCATGTGTGTGTGTGTTTTATTGATATTTTTTAACCATAACATTGTAATTTTTTCTACTTATGGAGAAGTAACGACTTACATCAACCGACTTACTTGGAGACACTTTTATAAAGCTTGCGATCTCGATCTAAATAGGTTTCGTATATATGGCATTGCACTATGCATTCTCGTATTGTTATATTTTGTAGTTCTACAATTAACTTCCGCCGTTGATTAAACTTTATTTGTCTTTCTATCGTTATGGGAAGAATACTCGTCATATTGCTGAGTGTTCCTAGTGTTTCAGTGTGTCTGGTGTTTGAATGTCGAAGCTTGAAAGGCTAGGTGGTCTGAAGGGGGAGGGACGTTTAGTAGTAGTTTTGGAATGTACATTATTTAAATATCAGCTTTGGACCCAAAAGTGCCGTTTCTCACAATACAAGTTCCCAATAGAAAAGTGCTCTCTGTGCGCTATTGCTAGTTTGTGACAGGTTAATCGTTAGGTAAGTACACGCTCCATAGTTTCTATCGTTGCATGCATCTAGGTCAGCTCCAAGTACGAGTGGATGTGGATGTGTGCTTCTTAAGACTACAGCTTTCCGGTCGCCGGTAGCCGGAGGTGGAGGTGGGCATTGGCTCCACATCATACGTCGGTCTCGGTGCTGGACGTCGTCAGGGGTGCCTGGTGGGAGAGCTGCTTGTGGAGCAACGGCGATGGCGATGGGTCCAGCACAGGCAGCGACTTCTGCAGTGCAATGCTGGCTGCTGGGGCGGTGCTGTGCTGCGACCGGGGACTGGGCGGCGTGGGCGTCGGTGTGGCCGGTATCTGGTGCCAGTTAATACTGTTCTGGGAGGTGACGTTGCGCGTCTTCCGCAGTGGCGGATTCTTGGTGGAGGTCGAGAAGGCCATGCCACGGCGCAGCGGCACTCTGGGAACCGGACACAGTACAGGCATTAGGCATTGTGGATGGGGCGGGGGGTTATTTTCATTTCGGGGTTTTGGTAGTCACAGGGCGATCGATGATGGCAAATGTTGGGTCGTGAGACGGTGGCGGTTCGATCAACGATACACATGTGGAAAGACGACAGATTGTATGGGGATTGTGTGAGCAGGTGAGACCATAACCAGGCGGCGGTTCCCTGCCCCTCTAACTCACCTCGTTGGGCTCGGCGGCGGATAGGAAATGCCACGATGGCTGGGCGACAACAACATGTTGCCCGAGTGGCTAGTGGTCGTGCCCGGCACGAGCAGGGTATTGTTACTACAAAAGTATGGTAAAGGTTACTGTAAAGAGCAGCAGGTGGAGGCGCAGGCGCAAGAGAGCAAGCGATTGGCAGGAAAGGAAAATAATCGATCTCCAACGATTGAAGTTTGATTAGAAAACAAAAGACAAAATGACAAATGTTTGTGGATTAGCAGCAATGGACACGGATGAACACTGATGCACGGTCGTGTGATGGATGGCATGAATATGGAGGAGGCTGGGTTGCTTTGTTTGTGGAGTAATCGGAGTACTCGGAGTAATCGGTGTTATCGTACACAATAAAAACGATTTATTTGATAGGTATTTCTTGTTTTGTATAAAAGAGGACTAAATTACAATACATACTCGTACTACCTAGACTGTTGTGTTTAAATATATATGTATATGTATATGTATATGATGGCTTAATGATACAATATGATACAACATAACGATAAACGATAAATGGTGTGTGCCCGATAGTTCCTGGGAGGATGGGAAAACCTCGGACACATGACTGGACGAATGCTAATCTGATGACAGTGGTGAGAGTGGTGGCTGGTGTGGTGTTGGTGTGGTTGTATTTGCTTGCTTTTGTTTAGTAAGAAGCTGGTCATGATGGTCATGGTGGTGGTGTGTGGTGCACTCTCTACGGGGCAACTTACGTGTGACTGTGGTGCATGTTCAGGTTGGGCAGACTCTGCCCCAGGTGGTTCATTGGCTGCACAGTCAGGGTATTCGCCGACTTGGAGCCAATGGGCCCAATCATCCCCATCTTCGCCTTGTGCAGACCGCTAATCAGCTGCTGCTTTCCCTTCGCGACCATTCCATGGTTGCCTGTCAACGAGAGATCCTCATCCATTAAACTGAGATTGTGACTGTGTTGGAGACTGTGTTTGACTTACCCGTCATCATCCCAGAGCCCTCGTCGCTCGACACGGAGTTTGTCTTCTCAAAATCTACTGATATGTTACGCGAATCGTTCCACTCGACGCTGCCGCTGTGGCTGTTGTTCGCACTGGACACATGGCTGCAGATGGACGAGTTCATTGGTGACTTGCGCACTCCCAGGGAGTCGGCCGTGCCGCCACTTGTGCCGCTGCCTCCAAAGCGGAAGCTGTCACCCACAGTGCCACCGCCACCACCGCCGCCGCCGGCTCCGCGCTTCAGTCTTTGGTAGATGGTCTTGGCCCGCCACATCGCGTCGTACCAGTTCTTGGCCTCGGTGCACTGCAGCGTGAACGCTGTGGAGGCCACCTGAAACTCGTTGAGGTACACACAGTTGAGGGTGTTGTTCGGGGCCATGTGGACGATTAGCTGGTCGGTTAGGTACGGCTGGCGGATGACCTTCAGGGCGCCCAGGCCCCGCTTGGCCATGGTCTTGCAGACGAGCAGCAGGTCCGTCAGCAGGAAGCAGTGCACATCGGACTTGCCCAGGTTGTCCTTGAACTTGTGGTCGCCCTCCATGAACAGGTGCCGCACGTGATATGCCGGACAGCCGCGCATGGGGGCGCACAGATCGAACATCTGGCTGTGCTGCTTGATGAGCTTGTCCAGCCCCTCGTTGTTGGTGTCCTGCGCAAAACATGTTGCATCATGTGGCATGCATCCATCGGTTATTGGCCACTCTACTCACCACAACGTCGTACGATTCGATCCGCACCATCACACCCTTCAGCCGCTCGTTCTCCTGCCGCATCGTCAGGTGATTGTTGACGCTGCCCACAAAGTTCTCGACGCTGTGCATCATCACATCAATGGCCTCGATCTCCTCCACGTCTCCCATGTGCTTCTTGATGGCGGCCAGCAGGAGGCTGTACTTTGTCAGGCGCTGCATCGGTCGCACCACAATGTCGGCCAGCCGCAGGCGGTTGCACATCTTCTGCGACTCGCACCACGCCAAGTACGAGGTAAACAGCGGATTGTTCTGGTTAAGCTCCTTGCAGTAGAACTGGCAGGTGCTCTGCTCGGCACAGTAGATCTACCGGCAAGGATAAACGAGTCGAGTGCATAAAGGGGGATGGAGGCTCCAGGGAGAGAGAGAGAGACTCACTTTGTAGGGTGCAAATATTGAGGCGAATGCAATGAATCCCTCCTGGAAGAAGGCGCAGCGCAGGGGCTCGTGGGTCACCACGCTGTGGGCCACCATCGGATAGAGCCACATGGTCCAGAACTTTATGTTCGCCTCGCAGACGGCCCGCACATTGGAGAACAGACGCGCCTGGTCGACATCAATCAGCAGCCGCTCCTCCTGTACAGCCTCCAGACAAGCCAGGAAAAGCTGAAATCAAATGACGCAATCAGATCACTGGGATTCCTACTTTTTGGGTAGCAGACGACTCTCACATCCGTCACCGTTTGCAGGGCGTGTATATAGTACACTTCGGTGGTCACCAGCTCCCATATGGCCGTCTGGATCTTGACCTCGCTCTCGTCCATGCCATCGCTCTCGACAAAGTCCCGCCAGGACTTGTGCATATTCTGCAGGTACGCCAGCGAGTTGTCTAGGTCCGGATTCTCAAAGCTGAGACCATCCGCCCGCTGGGGCACTCCATTCCGCGAGTAGCTGTTGAGGAGCTCACACAGTTGGCTCTGCTGGGGGTTCTTGATGCCGAATAGGGAGGACCATCGCTGTTTGATCTGTTTGCCAGCCGCCACGGCCGCGTCGCTGGTCTCTTCCGTCGAGGCGGAGGGCAACAGGCGGGGCGGCGGTTGTCGGGATCCCTTTTTGGGGGCAACGAAACGGAATATTAAAATTGCACAGTCGCGAGCAGAAGGGAGCATGCGATGCACTTACAAAGGAGGCGGCCTTCTGCAATGGTTTGCGATTGGAGCCCCGTTCCGTGATGCATAAATGATGGCCAGCCAGGTTCTCCACATCGGTTTGCTCATCCACGGAGTTTGTTGCGGGCGAAGGACCCGCGTCTAAAAAACTGGGCGTGGGATTATTGTCCGTTATCGTGATCTGTGAAAACGTGAGGTTCCTCCGCCGCAGGGCATGGCTAAGGGCATTACTGAAAATGGATCAAATTGGAGGTTCATACCAGCCCCAGCTGTTGAGGGCATTCGGAGGAACTTACAGTAGGGTTACTCCTTTTGTGGCCGGTATGAATTCCTCGTCCGGATGCTGGGACGAGTCCATGCAAAACGACACGGAAAAGAACTCGGAACTGGATACCTAAGCGAAGGATGGGATGGGAGACGTGTTAGTGAGAAGAAAAACTCTTCGGACTTCCTAAATTAAATTTGGAAGAGATCCCTCGTTCATCTATACTTTCTGGGAAAAGAAAATGCTCAAGGATCCGGAGACGTGAATCTTAAAGGGTTGCTGCCGCGAAAAGGCAGCCGCAGAAACTACTGAATGAGCAAACCTTACGGCATATTGCCCCCCGTGTTTGTGTGGCAGGCGGCGGAGCGGAATTCAGAGGGAAACCAAAGAAAGGAAGTAGCGGAGCAGCAGGAGGATGAGAGAGTTGTACAACAACTTTGCTGATTATGGCGACAAAGCAAATACAGAGTGAGAAATTAAAAGTCTGCGAGGTAGAACCCCTCCACAGAGGAATGGGGTTTGAGTTCTGTTTGAGTTCCTCTTGGTTGCCCACACACACAAGACTGGGGGATGCTTCTTTGGCAGTCACTGGGTCTCAGGGTGCTCAAGGCCTGATTATGAATCCATATTGAAGCACTCTCGACCTTCGGTCACCGGGGGTTCCTCCCTGTATCCTCCCTGGATTTTATAGTGCTCCGTTCTTTTATGTGGGCCCGCTCTCGAGTGTCGGTGTTCAGGACTCACCTCGCTGCGTGTCAATAGCGGTTTCTTGCGCTGCAAAAATGAGGATTTCTTTTTGACTGTCGCCGACGTCGTCGCCGACAGGCCTGACGGTGAGGTCAGCGGTGGGGCCGCAATAGGCGTGCTGCTGTAGGGGCTCAGCGAGGTCGCTGCAACCTGCGCCTCGCCGCCCGGATGCTGAAAGTGTTTGAAGGAGGAGGAGGGTATCGAATGAGTTGTCGCTGCTGTGACACTGGTGCCACTACTTGTGGCCGCCGAAGACATGGCCGGCTGCTGTGTGTGCTTTTGGTTCTGTTGGTGGTGCTGCGGGTGGTGCTGCTGCTGCTGCTGATGCTGGTGCAAGCAGCTGGCACTCGAGTGCACAGTGGGCCGACCGGTGCCGGCGAAACAGGCGGACGCGGCCATTGTGGTTATGTCGAGCGTGGGCGAGAGTGAGAGCATCAGCGATGGCGCCCGGCGCACGATCTGCGGTGCTTGGGTGTAAATTGTGGGTGGGTGGGGCACGGACTGCGAAGGCAAGACAGAAGACGGACAAATTTTTTCCGCATCGCGCTTTTCCGTCTGTTTTTTTTGGTTGGATTTTGGCGGAGGGGTTCAAGCGGTTGGCAAGTAAACAAAACGTGAAGAAAACGAAAGAGCAGAAAGAGAGAGGTAGAGAGGCACAGACATAGAGGTGGAAGAGAGAGAGAGAGAGAGAAAGGAAGAGAATACAGAATAGTCGTTAGGCGTTTCAAAAGGATTTCAATCGATTCTACATTGGAGATCAGAAATCGAAGTAAAAATAGAAAACTAAAAAAAGAAGAAAGAATAAACAATAGTCGAATATTCCATCAAATAAAAGTACATCCAGCATGTACATATTTTATCAGTCTGTTTGTAGTAGTCCTCCATTTAGTTCCTGTAATCTCCAAGATCCTTTTAGTACACGCGGACAGACGAATGCATCATACCCCTGTCCATACCCTACACAAGCTGCTTCCACTACCAATTTAATGCCTTCACTAATCCAGGACAAGTTTATTGGCTTTACTTGCCATGCGAAAATTGCATCGATTCCGCGAGTGAGCGTAAGAGAAGGATCTCGAAATATGGAAACTGTGCTGCTGTCAGTGGGAACTAAACTGCTGGCCGTGCTAAAAAGTTGTAAATGATGCCAGCCAAGAAAAGAAAGAGAGAGAGACAGAGAGAGAGAGAAAAGTGGAAGAAGTCGCTCTCTAAATCATAGGAAAGTCACGTACTTCTACTGTTGAAAAGTGACAGCTAAAAGAACAAGGATTTTGTTCAATGAATAACAGCCAACACAGAACTTGGAAGAACGAAGTATTGGATACCCTTAAAGATCTCTATTTAGTAGTAGACCGAACAGACAGACAGAATATAGTACATGTACATATTTTTTATAGGATATACAAGAGTTAAAGTAAAACTAATATTAATGGTAACAGCAACAATAGCAGAAGCAGTGGCAGTGGCAGTTGCAATCAAACTCAAAGTGAAACCAAAATACATTAACAAATGAAAAACGCATCAAAGACACACTACGGATAATCGCTGCCCGGAAACCCGTCGGCATCTACACGCCGTACACTACTACACTACTACAAAGGATGGGTGGCAGGACCTAGTCCCGATACCTCTCTATCCTCACTTACCGCATGGGGCTGCCGGCCAAGCGCTGTTGGTGTCGTTGCTGCCGCCTGATGCTGATGCTGGTGCCCAGAGGACACGCCAGGTGCCGCCGCCTGGACCACCGATGTAGTGGCTGCAGTCCCTCCGGGCCCGTGCTGGCAGGCCACCACCGTGTCGAGGCCATCCAAGTGCGTGAGGCTTTTCGATTTCAGCTGCAAATGGAAATTAAAAGCGGTGTGAAATCAATCAGGCGTCTCGTCTCGTCTCTCTCTCACTCACTCAGATATTAATAATTGAATATGGCATACGAGTATTGTTGGCACAATGCCAATGCGAGCTTTTTATTATACATACGAGTATTTCAATGGTTGCATGGGAATTTTTCCCGTCATAAATTCAAATAAAAAAGGTAATAAAACGAGAAATGAAACTGTACTATCGGCATGCCGATGCTTTAAATGAAATTCCTGTATAAGTTTTAATATAATACATTTTTACTGGTATAAATACCAGAATTCCTCATGAAAATAAATGATATTAATATTATTATTTTTTCGCAGAGAAGTGCATTCAAAGGGCGGCGAACCCTTATAAGGATTACCATTGTATTTCGCGCTTTAAGCGCAGAATATTACATCTAATGCCCCTGGGGTGCTTTGCCGGAAAAATAAATTGCTGGCAGCAGTCGGCAGTCCCCAAAAGGGCACGAGAGATGCATCGAGAACAAAAAGATTGCCACAGCAGGGCCAAGGGCCCTAGACGTGTCCTAGAAGACTTCCTGTCCTGTGTCCTGTCCTCGCCTAATGCACTGAGATTACATCAGTCAAGAGCCACCGACGGCCGACTGCCGACTGCCCTCCTCCTCGTCAGTGTCAGTGGCAAAGTCAATGCCGCCGCCGCTCCTGGCCGTCTCTGGGTTATGTAGTCAAGGACTCGGCAGTGATTTACACATTTCAGTGCCACTCTTGAGGAAAATCCTTGTGTCTGAAATGGCATCGACCACAGGGAGGGGGCACCAGCAGTACATAAAATCATTACTGGCCATGCAACAGCCAAAAAAAAATATACATATACATGGAACCACCGATCCCAATGGAAGTGGAGAGCACGCTGGGAGGGACTCGCTGGAGCATTCGAATGTCTAGCTCTATTTTCACTTTGAATGGATGGACACTCTTTCCCGCAAAGATTTAAGCCCCTGCCGAGGGACACACTCTCCGCCCTCTCCCCTCCTGCAGAGTGTGTTCAAGGATGCGCGTGCCGTTCCGATACATTCTCGTCTGACGACAATAATTCACATTTTGTGCTTTTGGCCATTGCCAGCGTCGCCTCTTGCCCTTTACTCTGGTTTATGGTTTTTGTTTCCTGTTTCCTGTTTTATCGTGAATTGTCGTTCTCCCACTGTGTAGCCGTGTACCCAGCACTGGCCGAGGGGTATCCTGGATCCGAGCAGGCAAATAAAGTGCTACCTCTATTCTGGGAGGAGGTAACCCCCAAGTCGAAACACTCGGTCCCTGACTGTGGCCTTGTCTAGCGAGGATTCTGGTCTGGCTTGGCCCTGCGCTTCTGACGCTCTCTTTTGTTCTCATAATAATAAAACATTTTGGTATTGTTTGTGGAAATCATAATTTCATAATTTCTGTCCGGAAGAAGGACACTTTGTGGGCTAAGAAAGTATTCATTCTCAATTAGGATTTCAACTTGTGATATTTCACACCTTTAAAGCCTTCAAGCCATTCGCTTTAAACACCGCAGCATCTTGACCACGGCATTTCCGTGTAAAATTCACCTTACCTCAGGCAAAGGGGTCCAGGGGTCGCCCACGACACGCACAACAGCGAAAATCACTTTCGGCCTTACACCCAAAAACACGACACGCTGCCAGAGCAAACACCCCAAGACACGGGTCCACAAGGACCTCTGGTCGCCAGGACACACAAGCTTTGGGTCCAATTTCAAGATTTGCCAACCGCTTGGGTCCTTCTAAGGTGCTTTACAGAGCGTTAAAAGCGATTTTAGTAGGGTTTTAATGAGAAAATAGTTAAAAGATAGGCTTCAATGAGTTTTAAAACTATTGCAGCTTTATTTTAATAGCGTTTTTCGCTTATTGTTTGAAAAACGGTTATACGAAGCTTTTGTGCCTGGTGTAGAACTTTTGCACAGTAAGTACTCAAATCGAAGCTCATAAAACTAAAGCTAAGACATATAGTACATATGTACATAAAGCGCACCATCGAACATCAACTGAGCCATATACAGAAGCGAAGGCACTGTTAAATCCACCTACAAATAACCATTTGCCCGATCAAATGAGTGATAAATCGTAGCAATAAACGAAAGAACGTATAAATTTGTTTAGTTTACGATACCTGGGAGGTCGGGCTCTCTATTCACTTAAACAAATACTAATAGGATTAAATTATACCATAAGCGTGCAGGCAATCGCTGAATAAAAAGTGTTTGTACAAAGGAAAAGCCGAGGATGTGCTACAAATGATGCCACACACACATGCCACAAGTCTACGAGTATGAAGCACTGGCGTGCTGCTGATGGTGCTGCAAGATTCAGTGATGGAACGATGACACGTCTATTGAAAATCCTGTCTGAATAACCGAGCCTGAGTCTGAGCCTTAATCTGTGTCTCCTTTCCACTCACTGCTTTGTGGGTGGCATGTCCTTGGGGGGGACACACAGCGAGGGGAACTAAGCGGACAAATCGTTGATGCAATTTACTGCTTGACTGCATTTGCGCTAATGCCCCTAAATGTCCACCGGAGGACAATTGAATGCCGCCAGATAGACATACAAACAGACATACGGCTCTTTCATGCATTCTCGTTCATGTTCACGCTTCGTATGCGTAATATACACAGATATGTAGAAAGGTATGTAGTCGACATCTCGCATCTCGCATTTATTATAATATTTACTACAATATTTATGTTATGCGTGGTCGTCAGAGCAGTCGCTTATTGCCATTCCATTCGAGCACTAAAGCCGTTGACAAAGCGAATCGAATTCAATGACATCAAAATTAATATCACTTTTTGCTGTACTCTAGGCCCGGATTGTTGCAGTCATTTGAAATGAATAATGGAGTCACTTATCAATATATTAATTGATTCATTTGTAATGCAAACAAACTATGAAATGGACATATGTTAAGTCCGAGACTGGAATCGCAAATATGCAAAAATAAAATGGCACTAGGGCTTTTGTTGTTGTTGTTTGAATGGTCCCAAAGCGGCTTCCATAGACCTGTCCAGCACCACCAATCCTCTAAAATGTTATTCAGCCCCACTTTAATATTTTCTGTTCTTTGGAAATTATATAATTCAATATAGCAAGAAGCAAGAAACGAAAAGAAAGCCAAGAAAACGGAAAAACCAAAGAGAAACGAAATAAAACGAAAACCAATTGGCGGGCCGCTGGATAAAATCTGTTTATTCTCATTTCTTAAAGTAAACATTTGCTTTGGGGCCGCCATGGAGCAGCACCTTCTCCTTGACTCACCTGCAGCTTGCTGCTGGGCGGCGACACGACCAGGCAGATCTTCATGGTGGCGCGCAGAAACTCCTCCCTCTTGGTGCCCAGGTCCGGGGTGACGGCGACTGGCGAGGTGACGGCCGACTGCTTCAGGGGCGAGCCACGCTTGGGCGAGGAGGTGGTGGGCAGGAAGGGATTGAGACTCCGCACCAGACTGCCAGAATGGAACCGACCGCTGCTCTCGTGCTGGGCGCTAGAGGGTGGAGAGGCCGTCGGCGTTGGTTGGGCGGCGGGCGCATGGTGCAGCAGACGTGTGGGCGAATTCAGGCTGAAGAGCTTGCGCCTGTGCCGTCCGGGCGTCGAGGAGGAGCTGGAAGCTGGGCTGGGACTCGGCCCCGGGGGACAACTGACGCCGCTCTCGCTGTGCGTCGACTCCTGGGACCCGGCGCGACTGTAGGCGGGTGTCGGCAGCTGGGCGGACCGCGTGCCAGCGGCACTGGCATTGTACTTCACGGACGTCACGTTCCCATCCAGCTGCAGCTCCTCCACCGGCTCTAGCCCCTCGTCCTCGTAGGTGCTGTGGTAGGTGCGGGCCGTGATCTCCGGCAGGAAGGGATTGTTCGGCGAGGTCAGCGTATACTGATAGTACCCTCCGCCTGCCTCTGCGCTCTCCACCGGCAGCGTGCTGCCCGCGTCCGTGGCATCGGTCTCATCGGGGGTGCTCTCCTCGGGGAAGGAGCCACCGTGGAAGCCCACACCGCTGCTGCTGGACAGTGGCCCGTGGGCGCCCAGCTGCTCCCACTCGCCCGAGGAGGAGTTGTGCGAGGAGGCGGTAAAGCCCTCATTCGAATGCCCCTGACAGCTCCTCGAGCTCTCGTTGCTGCTCTTGAAGAGGAAATTCTGGAGGCGCGTCAGCCGCACGGAGCTGCTCTCGCTGGTGAGGCTGCAGCTCCGGCTGCCGCTGGCTGGTGCCGATGATGTGGTCGTTGTAATGGATATCGGCTGCTGGTCACTCCGATTGCTGCTCTGTGTCTCCAGGCGCCGCTTGGCACGCTCCTGTGCATCCTGCAATCCTGCTGCCGCACCGTTGGCCGTGCTCACCTCTCCGCCCATGGGTGCGTTGGTCGCCTGCTGGCCACAGGCCCAGTAGAAGACGCTCGTCTGGGAGCCGCTCAGCTCTCCCAGCTCGCAGTTGCTCTCCAAGGAGGTGCTCGAGTTGGTGGTGGCGACGCTGCTCAGGTGCCGATACGCGTACTCGGGCGGCGTGCACTCGTCGGGGCTGTCCAGCAGCAAAGCGGGATTGATGTGACCTCCCAAGCCCACACCAGGCAGATGCAACTGGCTGAGGGCAAAGGCTGAGGGGGATCTGCCACCGATCAGATTGTTGTTCTCCGACGGCAGCGACAGCGGCAGCGGTGGAGTGGCACGGCTCTTGGCCCTTAGCTCGTCCGGCGTGGGCTCCTGACGCTTGATCTCCAGCGAACGATGGTCGCCACGGCGAAAGGAGCGTCGCAGGCGCTCCGCGAATTTTGATTGCTTTGGTGGCTTGTCCTTGGGCGGCTTCTCCTTGACCTTGCCACCAAGCAGACTTGTTGCCCGTTCAGTCTTTTCTTTGCGCGTCTCCTCCTTCTCCAGGAGTTTCTCGTGCATTGGAGCGACCTTTGAGGACCTGCTCTCCGTCTCCGTCTGCGTCTGCGTCTCTGATGACTCTGACTCTGTCTGCGTCCGTGGATATGGATATGGTTGTGGGTGTGTTTGTGTATGATGTTCGTTCTCCTTGGTGTTTCTGGCGCTGGCTAAGGCCGGGCTCTGGTTGCTGGTTGCTAATGTAATTGGTGGCCCCGCAAAGCCACCACCCATTACGGCCGCACGTTGCCGTGATGCTTGGTGGGTGTTGGAGCCTCCTTTGCAGTCGTCTCCTACCCGTGTATCCTTGTTCTCCTGTATCCTTGTGGCGTGTGGCGGGCTATAAAACACCCGATGGTTGTTGTTGGTTCTTAAATTTGTCTACTCACTAAATCGTAATTTATGAAGCGTTGATTTTCCCCAAACAACGAACACACATTGCGTGTGTTCGTATTTCGTAATTCGTAAACCTAATTCTAGGTATCCTTTAAAGCGTCCTAAATATATTCTATTGTGTGTCCTCTATAAGTAGAAGGATGCTATTGCTTATTCTATTATTTGGTTGTTCGTTGGTTTGCTGCAAAAGGACAGAGAGAAAAGAATCGGAAAATGTTTAAAATTTGAATTTTTATTTTAAATGTGAGCGGTTCTACATATGCAATGCGGCGGCGGCACCCCCTTCAACATACTAATGGGTATCTCCGTTCTTCGATTTGCGACCCATATGAATCTTAGTAGATGTGTATATGTTTTATATCCTTAACTATGCAGCCACCAAATGATTGCACTCTTTTTTAGAAGAGATCTGCGTGGCTTCACTCTCAGCCACTGGCCAATAGAATGCACTCGAATTAAGTTTGAATGAAGTTTCTATGAATGCCATTCAATAAAAAATACTCTAACTACAGATTGAAGCACTCTTCAAACTAAATGAGTGCATGTAAATTCCATAATTTAATTAAGGAATCAATTTAAAAGCGCATCCATCGCTATAAAATTTCCATCAAAGTTGTTTCCTATTACCGATTTTGGGATTAGTTTTCCTTTCCTGTATTTTTTTTTTTTTTTTTGGTTTTGTTGTGGTTTTGTATGGGAAATGAAAAGTTTTTGGGTTTTATGGGCACATGGGGGTAAGCGTGTTAGCATTTCAAATGAAGGGCGAGACACGAATTTTAGCATAATTTTGCCAATCTAGATGCCAATCGATGGAAATATGAAAAGTTAAATGAATGTGCATATATTTTGGATTGGCTGAACCGAGGGGCCAAAACCACCATACCGTCTGGGCAGTGGCCACCCACCGTTCCAAAAAAGTTTAGAGAGCATTTAATAAGTGCAGCCACAGCCACCACCCAATGGACGCTAACCCATGGATAGGAGCTGACGAAAAACGGTGAAAACGGCCCGAAAGAGTCGGATAAGACATCCATTGAATATATAAACCTTTTGGCTTCTAATACCCTTTGAATATTCGCTCATTTTAGAACCAAATCGATTTGCATTTTCATCTTATAGTCGTATGCAATTGTGCCTCTGTCTCAGTGTTCCCATCCAAACTCATCTTCCTCGAGAAATGCAAATTGCAAGTGCTGCATAGCCATAAAATATGGAAAAAAAAAGATTCGAATAAGCCAAAGAGAGCATTAATCTGCTTTCGATTTACGGAGTATCTGTCCCATTCCCAGCACATGTCAAATATCTTATTGTTAAGGTCGTGAAAAGATTAGCAAAACGAGAATTCATGGAAGCTTTTTTGGCAATCCTTTGGGGTCTCTTTTTCGGGGCAACGAAAACTCGGCCATAAAGTGGCTCGGACAGCTTTATTGTTATTAATATTATTTGGCCATAAATACGAATACATTCGGATAAGGATAGGGATAAGGGATGCCAGTAGGCAGACATGCTCGTACGAGGAAGTTGACAGCCTGCCCCCCGGCTGCTGCTGCTGCACATTACATAAATCATTGCACACGCCTGGACGCCTCTCGAGCACGCGACGTGACCCGCCGCCGTGTGCGTCTGCGTCTGCTTGGGCCTAGACCAAAATAATGTATAATTAAGCCCGAGGCAGAGGCAGCACGCCGTATTTTGGGGCTGGTCTTTAATAAAGTCCGCCATCTTTCATGCCCCACAGTGGGGGTGTGATGGCAGCACTGTGGCCTGGCGGCATATTGCCCAATTGATTGTGCTCCTGGCTTCGCCTCCTCCTCCTCGTACTGGTGCTATAGGGGGGAAAAGCCCACCCAGTATTCCATTAATTGGAGTGCAATTTCGCAACTCAAGCGAATATATTCAATCTGCAGAGAGGTGGTATTCATAAGAGTCTTATTTCAGCACGAACCAATTCCCTGCTTGTATTCCTAGGCCCTAAGCAAGAAGCTCCGAACCCAAGCTGTAGCTGTCGGAGAGACTTGACACCAAAAGCATCCTCCTCCTGCACGTCGCATAATTGAAACCTATTTTCCAGCAGTTTAAATATTCTCTGCTGGGGAGAAGGGAGTGCTGTGCTGCTGCTGATGTCCCTGAGGGTGGAGTGTAGTGTGTTGCGGAGGGAATCACGGCAGAGCCCAAGATAAGCGAGCGAGCGAGCGAGCGTGCGAACATGTTGTTCTCCTTCATTAAATTAAATTAAATGTGTGTCTTGCGATTAAATTTTATATTCAACCCGAAACCCAAACCAAAACGTCGCTCCAGCCGCTCTGCTATCTCGCTTGCTCGTCCGGATGTGTGTCGCGACTGCAGAGAGTTCAAGGCGCTTTTTCGATACCAGTGGAGCTGCCAAATCTGTCCGCCAACGCCACCGCCACCGCCAGCACCACCACAACAACAGCCAGCAACGGACAGTGAAGCGCCGTCATTTCCGCTGCCTGTCAGAGCAGCAAAAATTTAATTTTTATGGTTATGATGTCATCAGCATAAGCGGCAGAGAACCAGAACCGAAACCAGAGCCAAGAGCCATGAGCCACAGCCTGTGCCTGTTCCCCTGACTGTGCCATTTGCAGCGACAGAGCCACAGAGTCCATGCTGACGTAGTCGTCAGACGTGAAACTCATACAAATTGGCCTAGCAAAAGACTGACTCTCTGGCCTCCTTCTTCTAAGCACAGCGAGTCGGCCAGGACCCTGGAGGAATGCTACACCTTTTGGGGGGAGCGATGTTCGCGGGCGATTAATGCCGGGCAGGATTTATACGAGCTGTTGACCAGCAGCCCCACCCGGCAGCACCATACTCGTACCACAAATGAAGTACCAACGGTGCAGTGTCGTATATATATAGACTGGCACTCAACTCCGCAGTGCCCCCAGCGATGCCTCCCCTCCACTTTTTATGTGGTAATGTAACATTTTGCTGAGCAATCAAAGGCGCAGCACAACTTTCCCTTGTGTGGTAGATGGAGCAGCAAGGGCACAAACCGCATCCGGGGGCCAACTTGCACCAGGAGTTTGATCGATAAGCCGCCTCCCCCCCCCATTCACGACTCCCGGACAGACAGATGGCTGAGGCCCCACCAGAAGTCAACCGCCACCTCATCGGTCCCGTGTCAAAGCTGAAGTTTAATCTTTTGGGCTGGCGACACATTGGGCCAGAATTGATTTTTAAAACGAAAATCGGGTAAGGCGGGGCCATGGAGGGGGGGCTCGATATCTGGGAACCCGGGCACTGATTTATGCAAAGGGGTCTGTCAACTTTTGCGTTTTGTCTCTGCACCAAAAACCCCCTAAGGCGAAACAAAAACAGAACTGAAGAGCAGAGCATGCGATGGCCATGCCCGCCTGCAAGTGAAACAATACCGATAGGGAGAACATCCATCATAATATTGTCTTTGGGGGCGCCGCTCCACACACCAAACACGCCACACACCGAACCACTCTGCGCTCACAGCTGGCTCTCCCCTGTGGCAGCGATTGCCACCTGCACACCAGTACTTACCTCGCGTTGATTCCCTAATGGGAGCTCCTCTTCGATTCCGATTGCGATTGCGATTGCGAATGCGAATGCGGTTTCGACCTCCTGGCTTTTCTTTTCTTTTTCCGAGTCCTCTTTCTTTTGTCTGGTCGGGACTGTTGGTGCGGCTGCGTCTGCGTCTGCTCCTGCTCCAGCCGCCACCCGCCGCACATTTATTTTTTGCAATTTGGTTGCCTCTAGGTTTTTTTTTTATACTTTTTTCTGGTTCTTTGTTTTTTGTTTGTTGGCTGTTTGCTGGTTTTCCCGGTTCACGGCACAGCCTACGACACGGGTACACACATAAACTTAAATACAAACGGACAGGGACACGGATACGGATACGAATACGGAGAAGGGCCTATTCGAAAGTACTCGAGTGCCAGAGAGAGAGAGAGAGAGAGAGCACAGAATCCGACGGAGGATGCCTCCAGCAGAGACAAGAGTCGCCCTTGGATTTTGGGGGTACGCAAATGAGTTTATTGCTGGCAATAAACCCCCTTAATGCCCCTTCAAGAGAGACTTCGGTGCAATATTTCATTTGGGTTTGAAAAGTTACCTGCAAAGAAACAGAGACAGAGAAAACATAAAGGTGGATTAGTTTAGGTTGTATTTCATTCATATATATTGAGATATATGTACATATTTTCCTGCCTAGCTCACACAGAGATGTGGCATCGGCTTTAGAATTTGCTTAGAAGCAAGGAGTTTTTGTACATTCCTTAAATATTCCATAAAAAGTCAAACCTCACGCCTCTAACCTCAATTCCTGTTCTTTCGAGTCAAATGGAATCAATGAGAGCTATCCAGAGGTTAATCACCTTGCATTTGCTCCTGAGTCTGTTTTGTTGGGGAAAATTACTCTTCGTTTAATGTGAATTCAAGGTGGAAAAAACCCATTTAGGGCAGCTGACGACGGAGCTGCGTGCTGGATTTCATAGTAGACCCCGCAGGAAGAAAGGATATATGTATGTAAAGACAGCTTTTTAATTTAGAGACCAACTGCCACCATAGCCAAAAATGTAATTTCAATTTTGAGAATGTTTTTAAATGTCGCATAGACCAGAAGATGGTTGCATGCTGAATGGGAAAGTACTAAAGTAAGCAAGGTTTCATCGGTCAAATCGGTGAGCTGCTGCACGAATTGTTGTCAATCAAGCGGAGCAGCAAGTTCTTTGTTGTGTGCCGCGCTGCTGCTGTTCCATTTAAACAGGCATTAATATTTTTGAAATGCATCTTCTTATCAGTAAGTGCGATCAGCCAGAACTTCTAGCCTAGAAGTGATTTTGTGCACTGCTCAACGAGCGTCGAATGCCTGCGCGTTCACCGTTCAGCATGAGACGAGAAAGCTGAAAAATTTCGATGGCATAACAACAGCAACATATCGACAAAAACAAGTTGTCGTTAATTCTAATACAGAATAAATAAAACGAAATATGTACATATGTATTTATGTATAATTACACTGTCCTACAGTGGCTGTTTATACTACTCATGGGACTTTCGCGTAGTTTGAGGCCTTGCTCTGCACAAGTGTTTAGTAGTGTAAAATGCTTTCATCTCTGTTTTGAATTGAGTGTTTTATGACGTGGAATGGAGGCAATGCAATGCTCAATTAGATATTCATTGCTCTGCTCTGTCTCTCTCTCCCTCTATTTCATTCTCTCCTCTCCCTTGGCAGTAGTCATGGTAATGAATGTGTTAATTAGGAATACGAGTAAATTCAATCAGTATACATATATTAGATTGCCCCTTGGAGAATCATCCATCGCCCTTTCGGGCACACACAAATAGTAAAAACAATACAGGTATCGACTGTGTGTGTGTGTGTGTGTGTGTGTGTGTGTGTAGGATTGGTATAAATGAACAAATGTGAGTGCTTTAAAAACACTCGACCCATTGCCTGTTTTCCTGTTTTACAGCACCTGACACACATTCCACATTCCTCGTGTCCTGCCCTCCTACAGGCCATTTGGGCTGTCCAGCAGCAGCAGCATGTTATGCAAAACAAAACAAAAATTCAATTTCAATTCAATTAATCACGCTTGATTACCACCAATAATGGTCTTCGGGCAGACACAGGCCCAGCCAGCCAGCCAGCAGCCAGAGAGATAGAAGGATAGGAGAGAGAGAGAGAGAGAGAGAGAGAGTGAGCTGGAAAGCCGAATAGTCGAATAATTCCCTTGTGCAATCTATTTGGGCAGCCAGCAGCAGCAGCAGCAGTCCTGCCACATTGTCCTTGGCTGCAACTGCTTCCGATGCCAGTTTTTGTTTACCACTTTGCACATTTTGCTGTCAAATTTGTTGATTTATAGTTCCCGATGTGCGCCTCCGAAACTGGGATGGAAGCCCTGGCTGTGTGCGGCTCCCGATGACAGCTACATAGGTTCTGATGGAGCAAAAGCACTGGGGAGTGCCCACCACCCTCAGAAAAAAGGGAAATAGAATTCTCGAAAGCAAAAAAAAATACAAAACAAAAAAACTACGATAAAGCCAACCTACAAAAGGAACCAACCAGAGAGACAAAAAGTCCTGCCAACATTTCAATGACAATGCGGCTGTTTGTTTGCCAGATTCGGCACTTGGCTACAGCTTCAGCTTCAGCATTCGTTTTGCCTTTGGCTTTCACTGTGGTGCAGTTTGCTGTGGGGTATCCGACCCCAGTGGATGCCCCATGGGCCCAGGAGCCCATCGAGTGAAAACTGTTTTCAGAACTGTCAGAATGCGATTAGGCACCTGAAATAGTTTGCGGTATAGCTACCCATCCACCACTAGATGCGGATACCCCACTCCATCACTCGATATCCAGTCGAGTGCACACACCACACCGTCGCCCCCACCAGACCCACAAAAGAGCAAAGATTGAGTACGCCCGCCGGCATACAAATTCCCCCGCCCGTATATCTACGGGCAAACCGCAAACAAGGCATCGGCGATGCTCATTTGCAGGCAGGCCGCATCCTCGACGTCAGACGGAACCCGGATCCGATGTCAGGGATTCTCTGCCACTGCTCTGGCACTGCCAATGTGTTTGATGAGGCCGGAGATAATCGTTTGGCAATTGAATGAACCCCATGGGTGGCCATGTGGGGGTGTGGCCTGTGGATTGGCAATGAGTTAGAAGCAGAGTTGAAATTTTGGGCAAACACTCATATTTTCCATTATTCAGGCAGGTTCAGGCTTTAAAGCAGCATTTCGCACACAGGCGGCTGTCGAGTTGGTGCTCAGAATCGATAAGGATTGTTAAAGTATATTTAAACTTGTTTAAAACCAAACAAAATATTGCCAAATCAAAAGTTTGTCAGAGTTTCTAAGGCCCCCACGGCTATGATGTCACAGAATATCTAGAACTTTTATTTTTCATTCAAGTACTCTTGGCGGGAGTCGACGAGTCCCTTCCTCCATTTCGTTTGAACATTTGATATCTTGGCCATCATCCAAATGCCTTGAAAAGTTTCACAACCTAATTCATATTCGTATTACTCGTTTCGTTTAATCGATGTTTATTTATCTGAAACTGGGCCGCTTTCTATTTGCAAAATGTAGCAAAAAGACCTCATTTTCAGTGCATGCACCTCTGCAAGGAGGAGCTGCCGCCCAGCACCAGTTCAAGCCTGTGGCCATGTTCTGGCCGCTTGTAACTGCTTGAAGCTCTATAAATTACGGGTAAAAAAACAGAGCAGATAAATTTGCAGTGGCTATGCGCCCATTTCCCAAGTATTTCGCTCGTAGCAGTATAAGCCACTGGCGCGTGCTGCTCCGATGGACGACTGCTTTTCAAGTCCCGCCGCTCTCTCACTCGCGGGTGAAATCGATTTAAATGCTTCGTTTGCGTGTTCTGTTCTGTGCCGTGGGTCTCCGGTTTGCCGTCCCCGCCGTTCTGCTGTTGTTGGGGTTACCTTGAAGTCTTTATGTAACCTGTGAATGGGGTCGGATCGGGTGCAGCATTGTGTCCTGGTTTATAGTAGTTGTAACAAAGCGAATTTCCATGCTAAATAGCCTGACACGTGGCATCTGCCACTCTCTCAACAACACCATGGCCCGCTCCGGCTCCTACGACCCTTTTTTCATACTAAAGGAGCGTAATTTTGATTGGCGTTTGATAAGGACGAGCGGGCGACCGGGCGAGCGAGCGCCTGGTCGAACGGAAGGTCCAGAAACTGGCACAGCGGCACAAGTGGCGCCTGACTTGATTCTTCATTTTCCATTCAACATTCTACATTCCGTTTAATCTGCTGACGTTGTCGATTATTGTGGGATAGCCGGCAGCTGTCTGACAAATGTGCGCCTGTTGCAATCCCCTCAGAAAAGAGCAAACCGTCGCGTATGGCATGGTTCCCACGCGAGGATAACTATCTTTTGGCATTAATTTCCCCTTTGGAGAGTGGGTTTATATTTCAGTTGCTAATTTCTGGAATAATCAAGATTTTCCAGGAATTCGGTGTACCAGTAAACGGTGATTAAGCACCAGGATTGAGGCAACTATGAGCATAGATTTGGATGTAATTGGATGTACGCTTAGTCGCTGCAACTAAGGATCATTAAATACTAAAACCATTGCCAACCCTATATGGCAGATAGCCGAAACATGGGTCCGTGAGAGTCGCCCTGTCGTCGAGTGGGAGTTGCAGCTGCACTTGTTTGCCTAATACTTTGTTGCAAAGCAAATTCAGCACAATTCAATTTTGCAAGGGATACGTGTACGGGGGGACATAGTGGCTAATATCTGCCCCATGTCAGGTGAACATGCAACATGCCCACCACTGCCACTCCCACTCCCACGCCCACAGCCACACAGAGACATGGAACCGAGAGCTGACACGCAAACACATGAATGCCATTTCGCTTGAAGGAGGAATTTTCAAGAATTGTCCTCAGCCACAATCTGGCTACAGAAATGGCACATTTTTGAGTTCATTTATTGTCATTGGTGGTGGTGCTGCTGCTGCTGCTACCGCTGCTAACGCTGCTCTACAATGTGTCATCCCCCATTCCCAGCCGGATGAGGAGTCAAAGCCCCACCGATATATCAAATTAATTCCATGCCATCCTTTCGCATCCTCCTCTCCTTCAAGTAACCTGGACCCAGCCCGGAATGACTCAGTGATTGCTGGCCACGAACCAAAACTGGGATTCACGAACTGGGATTCACATTTGACACGTACATTGACACACACAC